TTAACGACACTAATCCTGGCTTAAGTAAGTTTGAATGACAATGAAGGCACGACGTAATTTGTTCATCGATGCGCCGCTGGCAACAGAGAGTTACAGCGCGGACTAACGATTTCCTTTTGATGTTTCTGTCTGCACTTTTCAAGCCTTATCACCTCTTTCCAACAAGTCACTCCATCAGCTGTCAATGGAACTTGCCAAACAACTTTAAGAATTCAGAATAAGTTTCGTTCAAAATTTTTATGCTTTTCACTGGAGTTGTCCCGCTTCTCGAGATTAAATACCAAGTTTCCATCATCCCCCCCCCCTTTTCCCCCTTTTTGTTCGTAACTTAATTAAATCTGTTGTGATATTAGTGTAGGTCTAATGTTAGCCACCATCACTTGTTTTGTCACATTAGTACCTGTTTGAATGGATAAAGGCACCTCAGTACATGTTTAGATGACTTAAATCACATCAGTACATGTTTAGATTATTTAAATCCCCTCAGTACATGTTTAGATGACTTAAATCACATCAGTACATGTTTAGATTATTTAAATCACCTCAGTAGATGTTTAGATGACTTAAATCACATCAGCACATTGTTTGGATGACCTAAGTCTACTCAGTACATGTTTTGATGACGTAAGTCTGCTCTGTACATGGTGACATGTTTTGATGACGTACGTCACCTCAGTACATGTTTGGCTGACTTAAAAATACTCAGTGGACTTACACAATCTTGTCAAACTGAGCAACGTATGACACAAAACGGAAGGTGTCATAAGGAAATATCTGAAAGATAAGATACAATAACTTATCAGGTGATTGTGACAGGTGTGATTGTTTTGTTGTTGTTTTGTTTGTTTGTTTTGTTTTTAAACTGCGTGCATATCTTTTCATCGCCCTGCAAGCTATCCCCATACATTTTTTTTTTTAAAATGTATACTTCAACAGTTTTATCTTATCGATCCTATCCAATGTATCCTAATATGCCAGGGCGGCTATAGAATGTTACGTGTGGTACGAAAGAACCAGAAGTTTACCTCATAAAGAGGCATTAAGTTGATCAAGTTGAGCATCTGATAAGTTCATTGCTAGAGCCGTCATTGTCAACCTCAAGCCAGCGTATCCCATCGTCCAGGTGTTGGATTTTGATGTAAGACATGCATGTGGAACATGAGACACCAGCTTTTAAAGGGGGAATCGTTTTGTAGGGCAACGCTGACGGATGAAGAATATATGACAGGATGTGCCAGGATGTGACAGGATGTGACAGGATATGACAAGATGTGACAGGATGTGACAGGATGTGACAGGATGTGACAGGATGTGACAGGATATGACATGATGTGACAGGATGTGACAGAATGCGGCAGGATGTGACAGGATATGACAGGTCTTCTCGTTAAGACCTGCTACTAAATTCAAAACAATTCAAATGAATATATTATTCTTTAAGAGTTGGAGTTTTATCAGTGAATAGGCTGAACGGGAGATGCCATTGTGATTGGCATGGTAAATATCCGACAGATATAACACTTCTTTTGAGACATACAAACAGGGTAGAGAAAAAAAGCCCTGAAAAATGAAGATAGAAAAAAAAAGTGGACATTTTGGCCAAGAAGCTTTCGACAGCAAAGCACTGAGACAGACAGACATAGCTGGTATAGACCTTTAGTGGCCAGGCAAGGTATAAAAACATGAAAAAGAACGCCATAGACCCATGACGCACACGTTAGTTAACCTAAGCCACCACGACGCAAATGGTAGTCAACCTGACGCAAAGGATAGATAACCTAAAGAGATTAAGCCGAGATTCCTGGAGCTGAAAGAGTGAAAGACAAGCGCTACATAAGACTGTCATATTCTTCTCCGATGTTAAATGGATCGCAACAGGCGCGCCATATGAAAGATGGATCTCTATTATCAAACCTCTCGTTGAGTTCAAGGAAATAGAAACAGATTCTAAAAAAACAACAACAAAAAAAAAAAACTAAACACACGGTATGATTGTAACCGAAATTGGGAAAGTTCAAGAATGTTGGAGAAATTGGGTCTGCTTCAGTGCTATAAGGTGTAAAGCGTTATTCATGTGTAGTGGGGCAGGTGATGTGCAGAGGGGTAGCGAGGGGGGCAGGGGGGACAGCTAGTTAGGGGCGCCAAAATGTGCTTTGATATTATTTTATTGATGAAAAAAAAATGGGTTTGAGATTTGAGAAAAAGAAAAAGGGGCGCTTTAAAATGGATCTTGTCCCCGGGCGCGAGTCTTGTCCCCGGGCCCCAAACGCCCTCGCTACGCCTCTGGTGATGTGTAGTGGGGCAGGTGATGTGTAGTGGGGCAGGTGATGTGTAGTGGGGCAGGTTATGTGTAGTGGGGTAGGTGATGTGTAGTGGGGCAGGTGATGTGTTTTGCATTCTTCTGCAACACTTTAACAAGTAAAATGAAAAGAATAACTGAAATTTTGACGTCATTGATTTATTGACGTCTTGAACTTTTCCAAAGTACACTAGTTATGATTCCATGTGTAGGCAATCTTACTAGGTCATACTTTCCTTTTATTTCGTTTTCTTCCGTCTATTGAGGTCGTTTATCCGAAGTGCCAACGTCCCATCCATCCTTGGGGCGCTACAGCCCACGCAGGGCCTTGGCGTGCCTCACCTCTTCCTTCCACTCAGACCTAACTGAAGGTTTTCTGTTCCATGCTTGGATTCCCAGCTGCTCTAGATCCTTTTCCACATCGTCCATCCCTCTAAGTCTAGGTCTACAGTTTTTACTCTGGGATTTCTTCCCTCCTCTTTAATGTTACTGTTTTTTTTCGTCTTGGTCTTTAAGTGGCCATCTGCATCCTTCTTAATGAACGCAGTCTTCTCAAAATTTTCTCTTGAAAGTATTTATATATTTTTTTTTAAAATCTGTATGCAAACATTATGTATCAGCGTCCTGTTGTACCAATGTATCAATCCCAAGAACCAAAACTAGGACCATCGGTGAACGCTCCTTCTACTTCCATGGGCCCACGTTCTGGAACCAGCTCCCCTTCCATATCCGTCATTGTGAAACCTCGTCCACTTTTAAAAAGTTCCTTAAAACCCATCTGCTTAGGTCGGCCCATGACCTGTGATGCACCCTCCTTGCCCTGCCTCATTTTCTGTCTCGGGTTAATCCTGTAATATAGGCCAAAACGTGCCAAAGTGTCCTCGTTTTATAGCCATTTTAATTGTTTCTATAGTATAGTAGTTACTATCTTAATGTCTCATTTTTATTTTAGTTAGTTTACATGTTTTTAATAATTGTAAAGCGCTTAGAGCTTTAAGGTAAGCGCTATATAAAAATGCCTAAATAAATATATTAATTATATATATTAATCTACTTTAAAGATTTATCGCAGTCCAACACTCTTATAATTCATTAATCTCATCAATAAGTTGAGTGAGTGACAATTCTTCAAAATTCTGAGATTATTTTAATTGCTTGTGCCATCCCTCAATGATAATAATGATATTATTTGTTTTCGTAAATCCTTTAATTGTACCTTTAAGCTCATTCCTCATATCAATGGAAACGCTTGTGGTTGATGCCTGTTTCCACAGACTAATGCTACTATCTTTGAAGAAATCCTCATTGGACTAAGAATTTCTTCATTTGCTTTTTAAAAAATTCAGAATGATCTTCAAATGTCTGAACGATATCAATTTTTACCCTAATGAATTGTCCAAATTAAGAGAAGCATCCTCTAATGATAACATCGTTAAAAGATGGCTGGTTAGAAGCAATGTTCCCTCTAAGGTTTGCTGGTTCGTGTGCAAAATCTTACAGTTGTGTGCAAAGTTTTAAAGCATCAATTTTTTTGTGTGCAAAATTTAACAGCCCACAAAAAGAAACACACCTACATGGAAATTTGCTGCGCGGTACTCAAAACTGCTGCGTGGCGTCTGTGAAGTATCTGCGCAGCCTCGCATCTTAAAGGGAACATTGGTTAGAAGTCTGTCATAATGGTCCTTGGATTAAGTCCTTCCTTGAGGATCTTGAGCTGCTCTAACGCATGCTGACTGAAATGCATTTAGATCTCTTTATGTAAAAAAAAAAAGTAAAATCACTTTTGATCTATCGAAAAAAAAAAGCAATTATATAAAGATGTTGGTACCCTGGGTGCAGGATTTGCTTTCTTTCTGATTCGTATTGCTTTGCTGGAGAAGAATCTGATAGTGCTTCTTGAACTGATTCTGTGGTGCTTTACGTTGATTGAAAGAGAGGTCAAAGCTTAGTAAGGGTCCATCACATGAGGTGCTTTTTAATAAAGATCACGAAAAATTGGGTGGCCCTTTTGAAATACTTTAAAAAAATATTTAACTTAAATTCTTAAAGTAGTGCCTTTACACTGGGTCAGTAAACTCCAGAGATATTACCTTTTCAATTATTTAAATTCTGCCCTCAGCAAAATGGAGTGGATATTACTAGTTTAAATTCCGGCAGTATTTCATTCTCGATAATGAGGGGTATGCCTATATTAAGTTTAGGCTGGATCTATCAATCGCGTAGAGTAGACATCTTTATTTGTACTTATTTATTTACCTTAGCTTATGTAAGGAAACAATACACTTGAGCCCTAAACCCCTGAAAGGAGTCATTTTATTGGTTTTCAGCAACATAACAAACGTCAATGCACATTTTGTGTTTAAACTGTCAATGAAGTGTTCATTTTGATGTTTTTCTGTCTATGAAGTGTCCATGATAATGTTTTTTCTGTCAATGAAGTGTATATGTTTATGAAGTATATGTCAATGATGTGTCTGTCCATCAACTATCTCGTAACCAACTAAATACATTAAATTCATAACTGTTGGTCTACTACAACTCAATTAAATGTATCAATACAGCATTTTACTTAGATGAAGAATACAAAGTTATTTTAAAAAATGAAATGTAAGGGCCTTGAAGTATATGACATGATTTTAGATTTTGTTCTTATTTTATTTGTGCTGAAAGTTTGATTTCATTGACCAATTATTTGTTAAATCAGGGTGAAGGTTTTGATGTTATGAAATCAGGGGACGCTCGGGTCGCTCTCATTGGTTTTCCATCAGTAGGCAAGGTAAAATATTTTTTTTTTTAATTGATAAAAAACAAAATAACATGTTCAATGTTAGACATATTGCAAAGTGTTTTTATTACAACACATGCAGAAAATAAAGGTAATATTCACATACTTTAATTGACTGCTTCTCAAATAGAGCATTGTTTTAAAAAAATGAAGTTATTATGTTTTTAACTCCACAGTCTACTCTGCTAAACACCATGACCTCAACACACAGTGAATCAGCTTCATATGAGTTCACAACCTTAACCTGTATACCAGGTGTTATTGAGGTGAATTGTTTGTTGTCTTTTTTGTTGAAATAAGTAAGTAAAAGTAATACGTTTTTAGTATCCCTTGTTTCCATTGCTTTTGTGTAAACAACCAGATATGTACTGTTCGTTATTATTAAATATGTGATTTCTTTACCATCTCAACATGTGTGACAGAAAAGCTGCGTTTTCCATTATCTGTGATTATGAAATCTTTCCGCACAGTTTTGATAAACAAAAATGTACTCTTAGTCTTATCTGTTTGTTTGGGATTTTAAAGGAAATATATTTTTGAAATTGACATGGCTAACTTTTTTTTTTAAATGTGGCAAGGAGCAAGCTTATGTGGCAGTCATGTGTTTGAATATTTTTTTTTTTGAAGTCTAGATAACTATTTATATTTTGTAAATGAATTAAATAGCAAAACGAGATAAGCAGTCCTTTAATTTATATCTTATATTTTGTACTATTTCAATGGTATTGTATTTCAGTATAATGGAGCCAATATTCAGTTGCTTGATCTGCCAGGAATCATTGAAGGAGCAGCACAGGGTATGCTAAAATAACTACAATGCTAATGTAGTAAAATGATTATTTTTATTAAATATTATAATTTTAAAAGGTAACAGAAGAAATTCAGCCTGATTTTTTTTTTATTTAGGTGAAAAATATAAGGACAAAATAAAACATGTGTATATTTTCAAAAAGTGATTTCTTTGCTTGTTTGTGTTTGTTTTTCTTTCATTTAGGCAAAGGTAGAGGGCGACAGGTTATTGCAGTGGCCAGAACTGCCGATTTAATTATTATAATGTTGGATGCAACAAAGGGAGAAATTCAGAGGTAGCTCTTCTGTTATTACTTTCTTTGAAGCATTTATTTTATTATTACACAGACATTATGAAGTATCCACTGGCAAAAACTATTAATTAAATCTCCTATATTGGCAGCAGAAGTAATATTTTAATACCCAGTATTTTGTGTTCATGGTTGACGTACTATTATGGTTATTTACTATCAATATAGGGGGTGGGGGGGGTTTAGAGTTTTAAGCTGGGCTTACAAAATTAAATTAGCAGTTAAGATGTAGTGAGTTTCTAGGACCTTAGCCATTGCATTTGTTGAGAAATATAAATTATGCATTGGCCATGGCCTTTGCTGAGAAATATAAATTCTTTGTTGACCTCATTCCAACCTTAGTTGCTAAAGGTAGTAATCCCATTGTTTTGTTCCACAGAGAACTGCTGGAGAGAGAGTTAGAGGAGGTTGGCATTAGACTCAACACTAGAAAACCAAATATTTATTTTAAGGTAGGCCATTTTAATTTTTTTGTAATTTATGCATTTCCTTATTAATATGTTGGTTTTTTTTTACTTCTTAAGTCATACCATGTATTCATTTGTTTCATTGTCAGCTCGCTGATATATTTCATTGACTATAACACCACTTTTTTATATTTTAATAGCAAAAGAAAGGTGGCGGAATTTCTTTTAATTCTATGGTGCCTTTGACGAAAACAAATGAAAAAATGATACAGCTGATTCTTCATGAATACAGTATCCTTTATGTGATGTTTTAAAGCTTTAAAACAATTTTCATTTTATGTAAATTTCATTGGTGATGGTTGTCAGAAAGAAAGAAAAAAAAAGGTGACAAAATATTTTCCTTTACTGCTGACTTAGAAATCTTCAATGCTGAAGTTTTATTTAGGGAGGATTGCACATCGGACCAGTTTGTTGATGTTATATTAGGCACTAGAGTCTACATGCCATGTTTATATGTAAGATAGGGCTGTTTGTATTACATGTTTTAGTCAAGTGGAGCTGGGGGGGGGGGGGGTTTAAAAAAACATTAGTCTATTTCTGGGGCTTACAAGAAGAATTACTGGGTGCATCATCTTTGGGAGGGGGGATAACAGTCTTTGAATTTGATGTATTTTTAAAATTTTTTATTTTAAACAAACTCACGGTCTACTGGATCTTTAGGTGGGGTGGGGGGGGGGGGGTGTTTAAAAAAACATTAGTCTATTTCTGGGGCTTACAAGAAGAATTATTGGGTGCATCATCTATGGGAGAGTGGATAACAGTCTTTGAATTTGATGTATTTTTAAAATTTATTATTGTAAACAAACTCACGGTCTACTGGATCTTTAGGTGTCACTAGATAGTGCCTCTAATTAACTCTTATCACTCCATGAGTAAACTTATTTGTTTAGTCCTTCCAAAGGGTACAATTTAATCCCATACCCATATATTTATTTTTTTATCTTTTAGGTTTACAACAAGATAGATCAAATATCTATAGAAGAGGTTGACAGACTGGCCAAACAACCCCACACGGTGGTAATGAGGTAATGAAGAAAAATAATTAAATAAAGTTCAAATTAAGTGCCGGTCGCCCAATAATTCATAAATGAATAATTTTATCAGTTATGAACTTTCTCATGTGTAGATAAGAAGAACCAAACATATCTGATAAACATTGTATATTACATTAAGTTTTCACTGTACAGAAAATCTCACTCAACACTTCTACCTTTCTACCAAGCAACAATGTCAAGAAACTATTATTGACGTTTATTATATTTTTATTTCAGCCCTTTTGTATTAAAAATTTAGTTGCAATGAATAATTACTCGTTTAGATGTTTGCAAATCGAATAATAATTGGAACATGAATTTGATTTTTCAGCTGCAATTTGAAGATGAATTTAGACTACCTATTAGAAGAAATGTGGGAACACCTTGCCTTGTTACGAGTTTACACCAAGAAGAGGGGAGGTAATAGTTTACAACTTATGGTACCCAAATTAATGCCTATTTACAATGTATGGTACCCAAATTAATACAGTTCCTCATGTGTGGTGACCCCCAACCATAAAATTATTTTCGTTGCTATTTCATAAATATGTGTTTTCTGATGTTCTTAGTCTTAGGCGACCCCTGTGAAAGGTAATTTCCAAAGGGGTTGAAAACCACTGTGCTGAACCATAAATTTTCATTGACACCTGCGTTCTAAGTGGTCGACATTTAAATATTTTGTTTATCCACAGTTATCATTTATCGGCTAATTTATATGTGACCCAGATTAAACAAAAGTGGAGCAAATGTTGAGCTACGTTTAGTATGATAATTCTACCTACTAGATAATTATTATTCGAAACAGTGATACATGCATAGGTGTGTGTTGGTTTATGATTTAAATTAAAGGCTATTTTATGCCTAACTATACAAAATTGAAATAGTTATATATTTTTTAGTATTGTGGTACTAAAGGTTTCATCCTTCTCTTTTTTTACATTTGTGTCCATACACATGAATAATTTTTGGGCATATTTTTATCAGCTTCATAATGAAAATTTCAATAAATGAATGAATTTACAAATTGAAGAATTTTTAATTTTAAACAAAAATAATAATGGAAATTTTACCATTCCCTAGGATTTTTGTTTTTCAAATACTATTCACCTTTGCTTATTACAGCATTTCTAACCATGATGATAAATCAAAATGAATGTCACAGATGAATTAATTAAATAAATAAATCTGGGGTTCCCAAATTCTTTAATTTTTTAAAAATTAAAACAAAAATAATAATAGAAATTTTACCATTCCCTTAGTTTTTTTTTGTTGTTTTTTTGCCACACAATTATTTACCTTTGCCTTGGCCTAATTGAAATTCTGTTTTTGGAAATTTTGGACAAGTATGTCATCATGCAACTGTTAGCAGTGTTCGCAAAGGATTAGTCATATGCCCGGAATACGATGACAGCAAGACGTCGAGCAATAATGAAAATTGGATTGCAGACAGACAAAGTGACAATGTGACTTCTGGTAGATGACCTAAAGCAGTGTTTCCCAACCTGTTTTGTGCCATGCCCCACCTAAGCCTTTCTAAAATTCTTATGCCTCCCATGTATCATATACATAATTTTTAATATTCAAAAACAGGGTTGTTCACTGAAGAAACTGAAATGATTTTTACAACACTTTTAATGAGCGCTTATTTTGATTTAAGACTTAAATGATTCTCCTTTTAAATTACAAGTTAACGATTTGTTTTCAAAATCTAGACAGCTCATTTTTTTAATTGCCCCCCTAAACAATCAAATTGCCCCCTATTGGGGTGTGGGCCCTACGTTGGGAAACAGGGACATAAAGCCTCAATTTATTCCGGCTGAAACCGAAATTTGGGCGTGCTCTAATGTCTATTATTTTTTTACTTACAGAACGACCAGATTTTGAAGATGGTTTGATTCTAAGGAGAGGGGCAACAGTGGAGCATGTGGTATGTTAAGCATCAATATCCATCCGACTTTCCAGATAAATTAATTTCAGTGTGCCAAAATACTTTCAGTGCTGAAAATGTGTATACTGATAGTTCTTGGAACATAAATTGCAAAGAAAGTCTTGTCAGTGGAAAATGTGCACAATTTTTGTAAATATAAGAGGTCACATACAAAACATTTAAGTAAAGAATTGTTTAAATGGGTTCAAGTCATAGAATACTGGAGAATGGGAATTTAAATATTTATAAATTTTGGGTTGGTTTGGGTTGATGTTAAGGAACAGCAAGATAGAGTGAGAGGCCTTTTCTATTTCTAGACCAGTGGTTCTTAACCTGGGTTCTATCGAACCCCAAGGGTTGGGTGAGTCAGTCTCAGGGGTTCGGCGCAGGTCCAAAAAAAATCAGGAAAAAAAAATCATATTTTATTTTTTTCTATTAAGAAGGGTTCGGTGAATGCGCATATGAAACTGGTGGGGCTCGGTACCTCAAAAAAGGTTAAGAATCACTGTTCTAGACTAAGCCTACTAATAGAAAGGCTGCTTTAAATTAACTTAATTGACAGCAGAATAAAAGAGCACTGCCTTTTAAGCAACCATGTGTCAACCCATGCCAAACATGAACATTTTTGATAATATCAAACATTTTCATAAGTTAGTTATCAGGTGTTGATCTGAAATGGTCTTGTACTTAATTAAATAAGTTGTTTGATCTGAAATGTTCTTGTACTTAATTAAATTAGTTGTTTGATCTGAAATGTTCTTTTACTTAATTAAGTTAGTTGTTACATCCCACCTGTAAAATATATAAATATTATTCCATTATTGTCATCCCTTTCAAAATCAATAAATTTTGTACGTGGAAAAACAATTTGGAAAGCCTAGAGACGGGAGATTTTAGGGGAACATGGTTATTGTGTATATGGTATGTGTTGAGATGACTTAAAATGTTAAATGCTTACAGAGTATACAGTAATCCAAATTACATCAAACTTGTAATCTATATATATAATTCGCTAGCAAAGGTCAAACACCAACACGCAGGCTATATATAGATACGCCAGAGTGTGGTTAAATAATGAGTTCACTAGCGCGCAAATATAATTCCTGATAACTACGCTAAATGATATATATTATTTTTAATAATGCAATTGCATTTGGTGCATATTTTCTTTTCGGAAATGAAATTGTCTCAATTTAAGTATTGTGTAAAAAATATTTGGTTTTAAAGTGGTTGGGACATGAGAATATTAATATAGTTCATGGGCAGGAAATAAAAAGTGTGCAGGGACGTATCATGTATGAGTTCCATAGGCATTAAGACAACGAAAATTCTGGCAACTCCTGAGAGGCTACTGGTACCAAGCTGTATTATCCAAATATGATGTTCCCTTGATTTATCCATAGGCATGGAGAGAGGTGATTTGCTATCTATGGAACCAACAAATCCTTCTAAAGTAAAAGATAAAATCCCAGGCCGTGTGATTTTGTCCTGCAAAGCCTACACCATTGTCACATTTTGACAGACATGCCAAAGAAAAAAAAATTATTTAAATAATGCAGTTGCAATCACATTTCTATTTGATATTTCCAGTTTCAAATACTGATATATATTTTTAATTTTTTTTGTAAGTTGCCTATTGCCATAAATGTGATGCATCCAAGAAAGTAGCTCAGAATCCAGGGATTGAATAGCAATTTTCTAATATTATAATTATGTTCTTGTGTTTTTTTGCAAAATATGAAATAGGTTTTTTAACATTTCTTATTTATTTTGGAAACATTTTTCAATACCTTAACTGAAAACAGAATGTCATTAATAATTGTATTCTTGTTCTGTTTGCTGTTTTCAGTGTCATGTGATACACAGATCTATAGCAGAAACTTTTAAATATGCCTTAGTTTGGGTAAGTTGTAAATATACCTTAGTTACGGCAAGTTGTAAATATACTTTAGATTGGCTAATTTTTAAATGTAACTGTTAAGGTTCTGGAAAGTTGTAAATGTGGATTAATTAGGGTAAGTTGTAAATATGCATTAGTTAGGTAATGTAAGTTGTAAATATGCATTAGTTTAGGTAATGTAAGTTGTAAATATGCATTAATTTGGGTACCATACGTTGTAAATATGCATTAGTTTGGGTACCATAAGTTGTAAATAGGCATTAATTTGGGTACCATAAGTTGTAAATATGCATTAGTTTGGGTTACTATTTGTTTACATTATTTATTTTGTGTTGAAAGTAATTATTTTAACTACTGGTGTCGAAATTTTAAACTAATTATGAATTAAATAGCTACACCGAGGAATGTACTTCAACTCAGATAATACTTTTCTTCTTATGGTTTTCTTAATGCTGGGGGGGAGGGTTTTGTTGTATATTTATATAAAAAGTGTTGGACTGCAATAAAGCTTAAAATAATGGTATCTCAGATATTGTAGTTACTGGTATACTCTATACTAGTAACACTGCAGATAGAATCTATATGGAGAACAAATTAATAACTAGATTTGGTACGTTGTCTCCATATGGATTGAACCAAATCCATAGTTTTACTTAGCTGCCATGTCTTTTTCCTGTTTGGTTTTTCCAATTATGTTAAAATGACTTCCTTTCTACTTCTCTTTACTTTGTTTTTGTCTGGTTTAAGCGCCCTCTCCTATATTTTTTCTGTTTTAGGTAGGATATGTATATTGACATTATGTAAATTTAATTTATACTTATTTAAATGTGTTGTGTTTGTTTGTACTGATGAATGCATATGCCGAAACGTTTAATTCTGTATAATGTACAATTATTATTAAAGCTAACTCATATTGTTCTATTGACACAATTTGTTCGTGTCTTATTAATAAATATTTATATAGCAGGCTGTTGAGAATCCACTTAAATCTCTTCATTAATAAGATTGTATCTTGTCACTCTCAGGGTCAAAGTGTCAAGTACAGTCCCCAGAGAGTTGGGCTAACTCATTTAATGGCTGATGAGGATGTCATACAGATTGTCAAGAAATAAATTGTTTCATTGCTGTCAAAATATTCTTAGTCCACAATTGGCTGTTCCATCCTGCTCATGCTATATAAAATTTCATCCCAAGAAAAGAAAAACAATATTTAAAAAAAACACATTTTGTTAACCAGCTCTTTTAGATTTTGCCTGGGCATTATTATCTTGCTTTTCTCTATAGTCACATATTTTCATGAAAGAAATTCTAAATTTAGCAATATCTATTTATTGCAATACAGATTAACTCTTATTTCTAAGAATGAAATTGTCATGAGGTTGGTGTATATCATTAATATCAAGGTAAAATGCACTGCTGTTTGAACCACTGAATGTTTGTCAAGAGATAAAATAACAGAGAAAAGGTAATGGGTTTACTCAAGACAGGACTCATTTTTGTTTTGCTTCCAACCTAATCTTTGTTACTCCTGATGAAGTAATGGTGGAGGGTTGGGGGAAGTGTGTTGAGGGTGGGGGGGTAGTGTGTTGAGGGTGGGGGGTGTGTGTTGAGGGTGGGGGATGTGTGTTGAGGGTGGGGGTAGTGTGTTGAGGGTGGGGGGTGTGTGTTGAGGGTGGGCAAGACAAAGTGATCATTGTTTATGTCTTTTAGCCTTGTCTTCTTTCATGTAGTACCTCAAAGTATGATGCTTGGGGGGGGGGGGGAGTGGTTGGGGGGTGGGGGGTGTGTGTTGAGGGTGGGCAAGACAAAGTGATCATTATTTATGTCTTTTAGCCTTGTCTTCTTTCATGTAGTACCTCAAAGTATGATGCTCTGGTGGACTTGGTACCTCTAAGTATGATGCTCTGGGAACTTGAACCTCTAAGTATCATGCTCTGGGGACTGTCAAAGTATTTCAGTGTTGTTGATAATGAAAATAATAAAGACAAATACTGTATTAAACTTAACTGAAGTTGTTTAGATTGTTTATGCATTTTCAGACTTCCTTCTTTATTTATTCTGTTTTTTTAAATGGAATCTACCGTTTCATTTTTACTCATTAGAAATTTTGAAGAAGTGTAAAGTGAATTCTTTTCTTGTAATTAAAATGAAATAGCGTTTAATTTAGTAATATATTTTTACTTTTTCATGAATTGTGAAAAGATTACCTACTTCAGGATGTTATTTTTGCTTTGATTAGCATTCATAGGGATAACCTTTGACTTTCTTCAGCACCTGGCCTGCTTGTTCAACAAATGGGATGAGAGCAGAATCAGTTAATTTCACACAGAACCATTTCCTGAATACATTATCTGTTTTGGTCAGTATTAGAGCCTTGCAAATTCAAAATGCTTGAGTTTTCGTTAACTGAATTTTAAAACCAGCCATAAAATGTAAATGAGCATGCTAACCTAACTATAAACTAATTGTGTACTGGTATCTATCAAGATCGGTGAGCTTAAACCATTTGAAATTTGCACTTAGCGTGCTGGAACGTAAATTGGTCAAAGCAGCTATTTTCAGTTTACTACACTATTTACGTACCATGTAAGGTATGCTGGTTTTACAGAAGATTCTATTTTTGAGGACATTAGTATTTATTAATTATTGATCAAAGTTATTTAAAAATCTGCATCATTTTTTTTTTCTATCAAAATTCCTTTGTTAGGGGCCAACCATATATTCATCCACAAAATTTCACCCCATACCCCTGTTGCTTTTCCTGGACACCCCTTTCTACATACCTACAAATGAGCTTTCAACCTCGTGCCCCCCCCCCTTATCAATTTATTTATAGAAAATTATGACGTAACAGTAAAGGGTTTTCTCCACTGCCTGTTTGGCTCAGCCCACTTGTTTCAATGTCACAGTGACACAACCTCTAGCAGACCTGATTAAAAACAGTAACTTACATTTACATGACCATTTAGTTTGCAGAGGCTCCTACAAATGGTTACTTGATGGCGCTTAACGGCCTACAGTTCCAGATTTTCCCATAGGCTAGGTAGGCTTAATCCTAGGGCCTCCAACATCTAAAGGGACCTCAAAATTTAAGGAGTCATAATTTATAAACTTGATTCCTGCGCTCGAAAAAATAAAAAACTTATAAAAGAAATGTATAAATTACAACATATTTTTGTTACAGATTTTATGTCAATTTTTAATTGTTCAATGCAGAAATCTATAAATTGTGGCTTCTTAAATTTTTAGGCCTCAATTTTCTTAATAATTTTTTTTAAATGATTTACGTCAAATATAATAGAGCAGACCACTGAAAAGATTCATCACATAGCCTCAGATAAATAAGGGGCCCATAGTTGTGACGAGGAAAAAATAGAAAATACTTAAAATTGTAATGAATAGCTAAATAAACAAAGCCGAAAAGAGGCCTCTAAAAGTCACATGACAGCATTAGATTGGCTTAATGTTTAAAATGCAGGGGCAATTAATTCAATCATATGACAATGATGCCAACTTGGCGGGCAGTTATAAATATCATAATGGTATGGAGCAACAACAAAAAATCATGGAGAAAAAATTTAAAATTTATGCGCTTATCCTTCATTAAATTTAATTGGCGGTTCTACTGTTGATTGCTGAATTGATTCAGTGAATTGTTTTGACATAAAGTCACTTATACTATATTGTCATCCTCCACAAACAGATGGACAGTTTAAAATCATTTTTGCAATCCCTTTCACAACTATCTGGGATGCACTTGGGCAAGCCACAGAGACTATTTTTATAAAGCTACAACAAGTACTATCATAGGTGCCATGATTCATTTAACGAAAAGTGTGATCCCAGACTTCAGGCCAATTCTCTATTTTTTTTTAAAGCAGAAAATGGAAGTGGAAGCATTGCAATTTGTGTTTGTGATAAATGCTTGGCCTGGTGTCACATTTACATTATTTTCATGAACTTGTCAAACACTTAATAAATCAAAACTATTATCGAGTGCTTGTGCAAAGTTGTCAATTCATGTGAGTTTGTTGTTTTTTTGTGTTTTTTACACAAAATTATAGAGCATAGGATGAACTTGTATAACAGAAATTGTTTTCGTTTAGTTGTTAAAATATTTCTTCAACAAATATAATATTGGAGAGGCATCACTGGGACTGCTAAATGAAAATGATATTAATGTTTAGTGCTGCAATGTCAGGTGGTCAGTGCTAGTACTTTCTTATTCTTAAGAACACATTCCTGGTAAAAAAAAAATATAGATATGCACATTTTTTTACAATAATTGATATACTAATATTAGATATGGACATAACATACAGCAGTTTTCTAACTATTGTGTTTTCAAGTGCAAACTATTGATGCACCAGGTCTTTAAGTAAATAGAATGCTAGAATATCTTTTTCTTGTTTTTTAAAAAAAATAATGCTGTCTAATTGAGATTTTGCCCACTGATAGGGGGAGAAAGCCCCCCTCTGATGCTGCATGGGTGACTTCGTGTGGCGAGCTTGAGATCCTGACATGGATGGAGCATTAAATTGTCATCACAGGCTAATCATTTTAAAAGTCACCTCTCCCAATGAAACTAACGACACCTGGCTCTAAGGCAGTGATCAGCAACCCGTGGCTCTTTAAAGGAATAGATGCTGCACTCTATTTTACATATCAATAACTTTAATGACATATGGCTCCAAAAATATTTATTAGATATATTTTATAAAATTGGATCCTCCCTCAAAAAAAATTATACATAAATATATATATGTGTGTATATAATATATATATAATATATATATGTGTGTATATAATATATATATAATATATATATATATATATATATATATATATATATATATATATATATATATNGATTGATTGGATAATAAAATTTTAGACAAAAATAGACAAAAAATTTATTAAAGTAAAGAGAAAGTAATAAAGCTGATGTCCTGTCCGTTCGTTCACCATACAAATACGCTACAGTAAATTAAAACTACATTAAAACATTACTAAAAAAAATTTTGCCTCCCCCCCCCCCAGACAGTTAATCGATATTTTTTCCCCCCCCCCCCCCCCTAGAAAGTTTTCTGCGGGGACCATGATATAGGCCTATATATTTGCAGACCCCTTAGAGCAGTGGTTCTCAACCTTCCCAATGCCGCGACCCTTTAAAACAGTTCCTCATGTTGTGGCGACCCCCCCCAGCCAAAAATTGTGTTTGTTGCTACTTCATAACTGTAGAGCATATTTGTTTTCTGATGGTCTTAGGCGACCCAAAGGGGTCGCGACCCACAGGTTGAGAACCGCTGCCTTAGAGTAAAGTATTCAGTGTCATCTTATTTATTCAATAAATTAAAATAAATATTATATTCTGACTGTGGTCATTAAATAAATTATTTATCTCTCTAATTCTAATAAAGCTAATCCTAAAAATCTGTGAACTTATTAATTACCGGTATGATGATGTTCAAAGGATGTAAAAGATCGGTCACAGCCATACTTTTTGTAACTATCACCATGCTGCTAGTTAGTGTTTTCACAAATGAACTCGCCAGATATTGAAGGGGCAATAATTATTCCGTTCGCCGTGCGTGTGACGTAATTTGCGATGTAACAGTTCTTTGTGGTCAGGAAAAGGGGAAAAACTGTGACATAATTTAACACGTTTCTAATTGACTTTGTTTCAGTATCATTTACCATCAAAGTTATCTAGTCTAAAGCAAATTAAAACACGGTGTTTGTGGCCGGGCCCACCATATCCAGTGGCAAGACTCTACGTCAGTGGTTCTTAACCTTTTTGGAGGTACCGAACCCCACCAGTTTCATATGCGCATGCACCGAACCCTTCTTAATAGGACAAATAAAATATGATTTTTTTTTTCTGATTTTTTTTGGACCTCCGCCGAACCCCTGAGACTGACTCACCGAACCCCTGGGGTTCAATCGAACCCAGGTTAAGAACCACTGCTCTACGTCAAGACAACCTGGGATGGGTACGGTTGCAGGAATTGTCAGTGTATGCGCCTTACGGGACTCCAGCTCTATGAGTGGAAGTAGCCAGCAAGTAAATCACTCTTTCAAGTCTGACCAAATGTTACAAATGATGGATTCTCAGCAAAACAATTTTAATTATAGTCCATACAACTAGTCTAGCTTTCTTGTAATTTCTTTTTTTTTTTTTCCTTTACCGAGGGCATCTATTTACACCTCTATCGATACCGGACGCTGGCAGCATTATCGAAACCTTGAGTTCGGTACATTATTATGTCAAGTCCATTAAACGACTGTTCGGATTTTTAAGAATGGTAGGGCTTAGGTTATCAGCCCCCACCCCCACGCTCTTTTAAATGAAAAATCATAGATAAACTTACTCTCATTTCAACTTTACCGTTGAGGATTTTGACACATTATGTGATCGTAGCAGACATGTAATCTGTGTGCCGACTGGCAATGTCCGGTTACAAGATACATCGCAGATTTAACATCAAAGTCAAACATCTTTTTAACGTGCTTTGCTAGGAAATTATCACACTCTGTTTCTGTTGTAAGCAGCGTTTCTTTCAGACAATTTCCTTCGGGTGGAGGGGAGATTTCGGATGTTCGGGTGGGCAGTGCCCGTGGCGTAGGGAGAAAGAGGGGGTTGTGTAACCACACCCCCCCCCCCCAGGTGTCAGCTGTTTTTTTTATAGGGCGGGGGGGCAATTTCGAACTACTGCAGGGTTTGGAGGGGGGCAAACCTCTTGTCTTACCCATTTCTTTCAGGCAATTTCCTTCGGGTGGGGGGGGGGTTTCGGATGTTCGGGTGGGCAGTGCCCGGGGGGGAGGGAGAAAGAGGGGGTTGTGTAACCACACCCCCCCCCCCCCAGGTGTCAGCTGTTTTCTTTATAGGGCGGGGTGGCAATTTCGAACTACTGCAGGGTTTGGAGCGAGGCAAAACTCTTGTCTTACCCAGGGTGGCACTACACTAACTACGCCACTAGAGAGTATATCAGTGTCAAGTTGGCGACCAGTGCCCTCTAAACTACTGTAATTTTTACCAGGAAATGGGGCAGAAATCGAGGGCGCCAAAGGCAGTTCCAATCCTCAACCCACCCTAGAGATGCCTGAAAGAAACACTGATTGCAAGAGAATATACAGGGGCCTTAAGTGCACATACGCCACTCTTTAATCCCTTTGTGCCTTTAGTGCACATACGCCCCTCTTTAATCCCTCTATGCCTTAAGTGCACATACGCCCCTCTTTAATCCCTCTATGCCTTTAGTGCACATACGCCCCTCTTTAATCCCTTTGTGCCTTTAGTGCACATACGCCCCTCTTTAATCCCTCTATGCCTTAAGTGCACATACGCCCCTCTTTAATCCCTCTATGCCTTTAGTGCACATACGCCCCTCTTTAATTCCTTTGTGCCTTTAGTGCACATACGCCCCTCTTTAATCCCTCTATGCCTTAAGTGCACATATGCTCCTCTTTAATCCCTTTGTGCCTTTAGTGCACATACGCCCCTCTTTAATCCCTCTATGCCTTTAGTGCCCATACGCTCCTCTTTAATCCCTTTGTGCCATAAGTGCACATACGCCCCTCTTTAATCCCTTTGTGCCTTTAGTGCAAATACGCTCCTCTTTAATCCCTCTGTGCTTTAAGTGCACATACGCTCCTCTTTAATCCCTTTGTGCCTTAAGTGCACATACGCTCCTCTTTAATCCCTCTGTGCCTTAAGTGCACATACGCCACTCTTTAATCGCTTTGTGCCTTTAGTGCACATACGCTCCTCTTTAATCCCTTTGTGCCTTTAGTGCACATACGCCCCTCTTTAATCCCCTTGTGCCTTTAGTGCACATATGCTCCTCTTTAATCCTTTTGTGCCTTAAGTGCACATACACCCCTCTTTAATCCCTCTGTGCCTTTAGTGCACATATGCTCCTCTTTAATCCCTCTATGCCTTTAGTGCACATACGCCCCTCTTTAATCCCTTTGTGCCTTTAGTGCACATACGCCCCTCTTTAATCCCTTTGTGCCTTTAGTGCACATACGCCCCTCTTTAATCCCTTTGTGCCTTTAGCGCACATACGCCCCTCTTTAATCCCTTTGTGCCTTAAGTGCACATATGCCCCTCTTTAATCCCTCTATGCCTTTGGTGCACATACGCCCCTCTTTAATCCCTCTATGCCTTTAGTGCACATACGCCCCTCTTTAATCCCTTTGTGCCTTTAGTGCACATACGCCCCTCTTTAATCCCTCTATGCCTTAAGTGCACATACGCCCCTCTTTAATCCCTCTATGCCTTTAGTGCACATACGCCCCTCTTTAATTCCTTTGTGCCTTTAGTGCACATACGCCCCTCTTTAATCCCTCTATGCCTTAAGTGCACATATGCTCCTCTTTAATCCCTTTGTGCCTTTAGTGCACATACGCCCCTCTTTAATCCCTCTATGCCTTTAGTGCCCATACGCTCCTCTTTAATCCCTCTGTGCCTTAAGTGCACATATGCCCCTCTTTAATCCCTTTGTGTGCTCTTTCGGTACAGGATCATAATTATTTTGATAGCATCAAGAAAATTCCCATTTGCCCATTATTCAACTATTTTCAACGAAGATTCAATTTCCATGTGACCACACGGAATGCACAATTCTGCTTGGAAAGAAGTAACTTGTGCAAGACGCCCCCTCTTTTTTTTCTTCATGGAACCAGGAGCCGTTTCTAGGTGTTTAGCTGCCCTGGGCGAAAATTTAAACAATCCCGCCCCTCTCTTTTTCTCTCCCCTGTCATACAGACTAGAAGAATTAATGCATTAGATACAAAAGAAAATTGGATTCAACATTAAAGAATAATTTATTTTACCCCCCTCCCCACACACATCTCTATTTCATCCCCCCTCCTAATTTACTTAACTATTTTGCTGTTTGATTTCGAATTAAAGCTATCCCCCCTCCCCACTTTTACCCCCAAAAAACAATAATAATAATAAAAAAATTAAAATAATAATAATGATAATAAAATAAAAATTGCCCAATAGTCTTGTCTAATGGTGGAAACGACCCTTCATGTAACCCTACCAGATCAATAATTTTTGGCATCGATTTTTTATTATTATTTTAAAGAAATTAGATCTATTAAGATTAGCCCAAAATCTGCTACCAATGTTTTCCGTTTTCAATGCAAAAACATTGCATTTGAGTGACGCTAGATTATGTACTTTAGGCTTTGGGACACTGTAATTTTGTACGTGTCTCCATTCAATGTAATAATACTTACGTTTATAGTTTATAGGCATACTGTAAGTGGAAAGCATTATTGTTGATTCCACCCCCCCCCCAATGTCATTTCTTGTCCTCCTCTCATCGGCTTTAACTTTTAAATACGTTCACAATCATTATTATAACATAAAAACGCCATTGCAGTTTCCTGTAGGTATGTAATCAGTTGAAGACATACATAAATGCCGATTACTAGCGGTGTGCCGCGGATCGAGCAACATTCGGTTCGGTACTTAGTAGCCTACTAGGCAACACACTGGTATGTCCTTCAATATATATTTTATATTTTATAATTTATAGTGTTTATTTAGTTTGACATTTTAACAATTAGTACCATTAGTTAAAAATTACAAACAAAAAAAAAACAACCGGTTCGCCCGAACCGTCTCCAGTACACCGCTCCCGTTAGCAATAGCCTTTATCTAAGCAGCGCTGAATCTTAGTCTTATTAGAATACCCACAAGAAGCTTTGATGTCAGCGTTCTCTGGTGGCACACCTAGTGAGGGTGTCACCCTGACCCTGTGTAGCCCGCACCCCTAGTGACGCTACTGGGTGAAAGCTACAAAATTAAAATTGTTCAAACAGACCAAAGACTTATTGAAGTTTCCGAGCAATTGATAATGATAAATAAAGTAATAATAAATAAAAAATTGAAAAATGTTATTTTTACTGAAATACTTAAAATATCACGCATGAAGAACGACCAGAACGCAGGACAGAAAATTGTAGAGTAGAGTCATATCGGGTAGAAGCTTTATGGGCCTAAGGACAAACGAGTGGATTTATAAATATTTTAATTTTAAGAGCATTGAATATATTTTATATATCATGTATAACTTACTTATACATACAACTCCTAGACTTCTACAATTTAATCCCAAAGTTTGCCCAAAGAGGGTCACGGAATTCCGACAGAAAGAGAATGGTTACACAAATATTTAGTACATAATAATTTATTTAACTTTAAACTGTATTCTTCGGTAACCCCACAGATACCCTCAATAATAACCCAACAGATGACCCTTTGTTCTTTAGAATCATTTGATATTTTCAAATATAATTTTTTATTGTGTGAGTTTGTTTCGCGTATTAAGAAGAAGTTAGAGTTTTAGAACAAGCACTGAATTGGATCCCGCGACCTTAATTCGTGATCACGTGACTGAGCAGCCATTATGATTATAAAGAAGAAGATCGTTGGTGTTTTTATATAAAGAAATATTTTTTTTGAAATCATACATCAATATATATCAATAATAACTATGTCTTATGTTGCCTGAAGTCCTGTGTTTTGGATTTAGAATGGTTTTTAAGTTACTTAACCTGAACAATTAGGTGAGTTTATTGCACGAGGAATCCAACATGGCCGCTCCTTTATCGGCTGCTGAATTAAAAATGAAATCCATTCAATTGCGTTGTACTTTTTAAATCTCTAAGAAATGTTATGTGTAGCATTGCCACATAGTTCCACTTAAGCTTACAATTATTTTGTTAATGATGTAATAGTTTTTTTTTAAAAAACTGACCACGCATTAACTAATAAGCTAAGGCATTGAAAAACCTTGCACTTGTACTGATTTAAATGTAGGTCACATTTATTTATGATTTTGATTTCCCACATGACATGCATCAAATTCAGGTGCAGTGTTCGTAATTATTAACCTATTTTTGAAAGTAACATACCATTTTTTAGATAAATTAGTTTTCTTTAAGTTAAATATTGAAGAGAAACAAAAATCTTATTATTGTTAAACTATAAATTACAAATAAATGACAGCTTACCCTCATCAAGTTTTGAATTTGAATTTCCAAAACAGATAAGTTATCATGTATAATCACATTAACACCAATTTGAAAATGTTCAAAGTTTAGACAAATCTATAATTGATTAATCGGTATAATCAAATCTCCCCCCAAACAAATTTTTAAGGCAGTGTCTACACGTCCAGACGTCTATCTCCCGCACTATTTGTCCGGCGACCAAGTCACATGACCGCCGTAACAAAGTGGCGAGAGATATCTTGTCGGTCAGCCTTGTCACGTGACTGCGAATAATTCAAAACTATTGTTAATTTTAAAATCTATTTCTCTACCAAGTAATGTACTGAGTATCTTGCATGCAAATAATAGAAAAAAACTTAAGTGAAAGTGGCTTGTAAACATTTTTGTTATTTGAGTTTGTGCACCAGTAATCCATAAAATAAATTAGGGGCCAGTGTGGAGTAGGCAACCAATAAACGTAAAAGATTTCATTTTAAATTGTTACAAGATATTTAAAAACTTCTCATGAAACTACTGTTGCTGATGAACATGATAATATAAATATAGTATAAAATATTTTACATTAAAATGGGAGAGAAAAAAAAAAGATCCTATCCCCGCTTTGATCCTCAAATCATAATATCGTCAAGCGACCTCTAGACCACACAAGATCTGCCAAACAGTACTTCGTTTGGAATTATAAAAACTACTAGCCGTCCGGCGGTCACGTGACATACCGCCAGACGTATATCTTGCGCACTATTTGTCCGGCGCGCCGGACGTGTAGACCCTTCGAATTTTTAATGTTTGCTTAATTCCCGAAATAATACTTGACTAAGTTAGTAAACTACCCTCAAAATACGGTTACGATGTATAAAAAGTATAAGACAAAACATACATTTTTTGTTTACATTCTTACTGTCCCATGTGTTTTTTTTATTAACTTTGTGACTGTAAATTAAAATCTCAAAGCCAAAGTAAGAATGTATTAAAATTAAATATATAAATATAACTCATTTTACTATGTCAAATATCTGGCATAATCTGGTATTATAGTTTCCAAGAGTTGTCTCACCCTAAGAGCAGTGACATTACTTTGGGGAATCCCAAAACTGGACTGGGAGTGAATACGCCAATTGTTGGACCTAAACAATATGTGTGATTACTTTCTTGTTCTTCAATGAGCATTATTTGTGTCACAAACTCGATCTGACCATCATAGGTTAATAAAAAGTATATTTAATTTTCCCTTCATTTCTATTAAAATTCAACTAAAAAGGTTAAAATGAAATGAAAAATGAAACACATCCTTGCAAGAAGAATACCTGAGTACTGTGAGGTGGAAAAAAAAAAAGCTGCATTTTAAAAGGGAAGTCTATTGATTGGTTAAAAATGAAAGTACATGTACGCTATTTATTTCTGTTATGTTGCCATTTCATGGGACATTTCACCATAATTCCGCGCCGCGCCCCCCCCCCCCCCCCCCCCCCCCCCCCCCCCCCCTTCAAGAAAAAATAGATGAGAGAAAAAACAAATTTGTATAAATCAAACATGGCTAAAAATCAAAATCTTTTGTATACGGAATTATAGTGTCTATAGCTTTTGACTTGGGGCAACCTACTTGACCTGATATGGTCCACATCTCCGGCCTTACCATTAACTCAAACCGTGACACTCAGTGTTTCCTGGCCATGAAAGAAGGAATGTTTGGCATTAAAAACAGCTTATGGTAGTAACCTGTTAAATAACTATTCAATTAGTGTTAAAATATAAAATACAACCTACTTTTTTTCCTCTTGAACTGAAATCCAAGTCCTATCTATACTATGAGGCCTTATTATTATACTTATTCCAAAAGGGGCCCTGCAAAATGTGAAGTATAGGTTAACTATAGTCTTATTACATTAGTGAGAATCAGTCATGCCTGTGCTCTGGCCTTTGCTCTGCAATTCAATTTTATAAAGGCCTAGGCTAATCTATTGTCAGTAGATCTAGGATCAGTAGAGTAGGCTAGTATTACTATATAAACTAAGTCTAATAATAATAATAACTGGTCAGAAGTGTGTTGGACTATTTTTACTGTTTTGATATTATTTTTATCTGGACCTGGTAAGCTACCAAATCACGCAAGTGTAAAAGCAAAAATGTCAAAATAATTTATTTCTAATTATTGAAACGTTTGTGGTCATAATAATAAATATTAACCCTCTTGAGACAACTGGGCAAATATCGGCCCAATAATACAAGCCCAGAGATTGGCTGGCTGGCCTTCATAGCAGTTAATCAAATTGCTTCTCACATTTCTTGCTCATCTTGCCATTTTAATGGCTTCTTCCTTTGAGAGTTATCTTGTTAGGATCATTTATAAATAAATTTTTTTGGTACCAAGAGCCCCCTATAAATGCTTTAAAAAATATAGGACCTAGAAATATCCACAAGGCATAAGCACCCCCAGTTGGATACTTTATTCAGTTTTTCACATTGAATCTTACTCAAATTTTTGTCAGGAATTATGTAAACTTCAACTTTCAGAAAATTCACCACAATTCTGTAAGAAAGACATGTTGATTCAAAATGTTTAAAAAATGCATGCATTAATTTTGCAAATTAGGATATCACATCAGAGTTAATGTTGAGATTTCAGTTGGATTCATAATGATTGTATTAATTCATCTAATTTCCTACAAGAACATACAGTTTTATATTTGTAAAATGATTGAAAAAATTTTTTTTTTCAAAGTAAGTGCTGGGCTTGTGAAAAGGACTCCTTCTCCTTGGCACCGAAGGTCCAAAAATGCTGAGTCTCATTAGGGTTAATAACATGCTGGAGGGTCCTTTGCAACTCATTTGACTGCAATTGTAGCCAAAAAAAGTGTCGGAAATCTTTTTTGAGTGAAGAGTCATTTTAAAATTTATATCTGCTGAGACTCACATTATTTCATTAATTCAGGGGGCTGCAAGTTGCTGACCACTGACTATAATTTCATTTCAAAACACAACTAAAAAAACAGAAAAATTAAAACATATTGAATTTTATTGTCTTAAATGATAGCCTATATCTATAGCCTATCAGGCTATCATTTAGAACACCAATATTCAATAGGAGGGTCCTTTGCAACTCATTTGACTGCAACTGTAGCCAAAAAAGTGTCGGAAATCTTTTTTGAGTGAAGAGTCATTTTAAAATTTATATCTGCTGAGACTCACATTATTTCATTAATTCAGGGGGCTGCAAGTTGCTGACCACTGACTATAATTTCATTTCAAAACACAACTAAAAAAACAGAAAAATTAAAACATATTGAATTTTATTGTCTTAAATGATAGCCTATATCTATAGCCTATCAGGCTATCATTTAGAACACCAATATTCAATAGTGAATTTTATAAACAGCTTATTTAAAATTTGCACTAACTTTAGTAATTAAATAATTAATTAGGCCGAATCTAACGCAGAAAACTTTTTAACCAACTTCTTATAATCACAACTGAGCACTCAATTTTGCACACATTTTTTTTTTTTTTTCAAATTAATAACAGTTCTTCAGGACACATTCACTATACAATGTAGAACCAAAAACTTATTGCACATCAATTGTTATTAAACTAAAAATTACAAATTCCTGTAAAATGTGTTTTTGGATTTATCATAAAAAAAAAATAAATTATATTTTAATATTATCTTTTTCTTTAGCAATTAATTCTTTTTTTTCACTAATAAATATACTAACTATACCTTTTTTTGTCAGGATGAATCATCATTACCCGGATAATTATGGGTATGGACGGGGTACTCCTGCTATTCCTGGTATGGGTTTTGCAGGAAGTGGATACACTGACCCATCAGCAATGGTATGAATAATCTGTAAATAAAATCTCAAATTTAGTGTAAATAGGAACCTATAACAAAGTAAACTAATTTGAATATGTTGCATTTTCACAACAATGAAAATTATTTTTTCCATTGCTCTTTGTTTTCTAGACAAGAATGGGACAACCTAGGGAAGGATATCAAATGTCACATTATCCTGTAATGCAGCCACAAAGTGGAATGTATGGACAAGGAGGGTTTATGGGACAGCAAGGTAATCCTTATAATATGAGTGGTTACAGCAACTATGGGATGCAAGGAATGAACCAGTCTTCAATGATGGGAGGTAACAGACAAGGCGATATGACTAGAATGGGAACAGGCAATGTGATAAATCCATATTATAATACAGTCATGTCTCCCGATCCACATGCTTCTCCACAACATGCATCAATGAATAATCAAGCTGTCAACTACAGTCATACCCAAGCTAATTCTCTTATGCAACAACCACACATGAGCATGGTTTCAGGTAAAAATTCTGCCATAATGTCTAACCAGGGAACTATAGGACCCATTCCTACACAAAACTCTGGTCCTTCGGCAATGACTAACCAGTCAATGCATAGCCAGGGTGCTCATAGTCCTGTTCATATGATGTCTCAGGTGGGAGCACTTCAGAACAGTGGTACATATGGAAATCAGACATCACCGCACATGATACCCCGAACTCATCATGTACCTCAGCATCCAATGAGGCATCCCACAACACAGCAAAATCCCCAGGAAGTGGCTGACAACATACTGCAAATGGCTTCTGCCTATCCATCAAACCAGACGGTAATTATTATGGCTTTAATGCAAAATTAGATAATACTGTTCAACTTTTAATCAATACACTTAACTCCATGCAACGCTGTTCTGAAAGTTCAACTGGTTTTTACACAAGTTTGTGTCATAAGGGCACTTTTTCTCACACATGTATGAAAACATGGCATCTTAATTACTACCTGGGACTAGCCATAAATTGGGAAGGCAAAAAAATAAATAAATCTACTATTGTTGAAACTGCATTTCCTGTCAAACACATTTTAGACTGTACTAAATAGCTGCAAGCTAAGCATATCTCTTTTTTTCTGTCTTGAGTCATTATTCTTGTGTGTGGTATATATTAGGTTTGCTGTGATTTTAAGGTCTCATGAAATTCAGAAAATCAGTAGCCATGGTTCAAACACTGTCCATCTTGTTACCATTAGTTAAACACTAGTAACATCATTTTCTGCTACATATGAGTCTTAACATGGTGACAGCTGTTACATGGGGCATATCTGTTTGAAGTATTTGTTTCCTTCAGCTGTACCATTTCATTAGTCATGAACAGTATGAAATAATCTGCTACATTGCTTATAAATAGGAAAGCTATGAATGCCATCTTTCATCTCTATAAGTCTATTCATCTGATCAGAAACACTGTTCAAATAGTCTGTCCCAATGTCAGTGGCAACAGTTGGTGAGAGTGTATCACAAACTCATCTGACCCCTACAATATCATTTAAAGTGGATTATTCTCACTATTTTTATACCATCTCCATCAATATCTGACTGATCTTCATTGTTGGTATTATTGTTAAATGAATATCTAAAGTTTAAATTAGACATCGAACCAGCAATCAAATTGAAATACCATAGCAATAAATTCTCGTACAACACAATTACAAATTTACTCATTTTAGTCCAACTTTACAACTCACTTCTCCATAACTGAAAGAGATAAAAATATCACATTTGACCTATCTTCCTACTTTTGAAGTATCCCAATGCTACTAGCAAGATCGCATGGTATGTGTAAGTTACTAGACAAAATGATGCATAGGTCAAAATAGAAGCAAATGGGTTAAGGGAAATAATCCTAATGGGTTTAACTCACTAAAGTGTATAAGCCTGTTCTGGAGAGAGAGAGATATGAAGTGAATATTTAAAAATAGCTTATTTACCATGGATAGATCATAATGTAACTTTAAATTCAAATTTTTAATACAAAGGTTCTTACAACATTGCAATATTAACTGGCCAAACTTATTTTCTTAAAATAATAGGGGCTGATTATTTTTTTCAATATTTACATTTCTTTAGGTACAGGTACCCCTGAAAAGTCGTCCTGCTCCTTATCACATCCCTCGATCCCCTCACTACAGCGTGTCTCACTCAGATTTGCCTCATACTTCTCCAAATCCCCACCAGCAGCAGCAAAGTCCAGTCAACTGCCAGACAAGTCCAAGTCCTTCCTCGAGTGTGAAATCACCAGCACCAGTGCTAGCACCAATCCCCAACCCTATACCTTCGCCAGGCATTAGTGGCCTGAGATCACCTTGTAATCAAGGAATGTCACCTTGTGGTACACAGCGTTCTCCAGGCCGTATGGGCTCTTCTTACAGTGGTCATAGCCAAGGTGGCCCGCCATCACAATGTGGGGGGGAAACATCTCCTTATCATCATAATATATCCCCTTCAGATACACATTACTCACCCTGTGCTATGACGCCTACACACAGTTATGCTGCATACAGCGCATCTCCTTCTGCTCAGCGTAATGTATTGATGTACTCTCCATCCAGTGACCATTCTTTAATTTCCACTCCGGAGCAGTTTCGCCATTCTAACTACACCATTTCCAGTTCTTCCATTACTTCCTCAAACAACGTTACGTCATATAGTAATTCCTCTAAAAAAAGTAGTAGTGGGATGTCTAATTCTACTGTTACAAATGCACAAATGGTGAATAGTCCATTAATGTCTCTACAAAAGCTAGTAATGCTGCCTGAAACACAAGTTGTAGATCCTAAGAGTGTAGTCAATGATGCATGTCTTTCTTCACATGATGAGGCTCCAAAAAACGCTGATAGCCCAGCAGAACGGCTTGTTGAGGGCTCAAGTCATTCTGTCGGGAGTCAGTGTAATTCTAGCTCTTACCGAAATCAGTCAGGCAATACAACACAAGATGTTCATTTATCCGAAAACATCAGTGATGTGAATGCTGTTGAAAAATCAGTGCCGGCACAGCAAACAAGCACTAGTTTTCCTTTAAATGAACAGGTGCAAGTTTCTTCAAACTTGGATAATAATGAAGACCTGTTGTGTAATGCAAATAAGAATTTGCATCAAAATGTAAACAGTAGTCCTGACAAGAAACTGAAAGAAGAAACTGTAATAACATTTGACCATAATGAAACACCTGAACAAAATTGGTCACCTTTACATCAGATACTTTCAGATTCTGAAACTAAAAACAGCTTGAACCCTAGTCATTTTATTGCTGCAGATGACAGATTATCATCAGGTAGTATTGAAAACTTGACAGAAAAAACACAAGCTATTAAAACTAATGGGCATCACATTCCATCTAAACCTCTTACAATACTTACAAACAGTGAGACAAAAAAGATAATTATAGATGGAGTTGAGAAATCATCAAATACTTTGGATAGAGCAATTCATTCTCCAGATCGTAAGAATGGCAAGATAAAGGATGATGTAAAACGTTTGATGGTCCAATGTCGTTCACCTGGTGTTTTGTCAGAGGTTCCAGTCATAACTAATGGTCTAATTAATGGTAGAGTACGAGAAAATGATGATGAAATTGATCAGGATTGTGATTTAGCTGTACATGCTAAACTGCATAATGGTTTCAGCTCTCTTGTCAAAGTTAAGTTAGCCTCATCGAAGAGAGCATCACAGTTTGCCCGTGTTACACCATGCAGCATTGCAGTTGGTGCGGATGAAAGAGCAGCCTGTGATAGGTTTGTCTATCGGCGTAATGGGATATGCAGATCTTTAAGAACCACTCGAATTATTTTTAATGGAAGAAACCGGAATGATAGTACAGGAAATGCAGACTCAGATGAAAGCTTAGAAAACGTATCTGAAAGCAACTTTGGCATATCTGATAGTCCACAAGATGGGAATAAAAAACGCTCAAATACACCAAAACGAAGTGAATGCAAGAAACCAGACTTGAACTCCATGTCAACTTCTAATAAAGTAAATGAAAGTGACACAAAATCTGCTGAGCCCGTAACATCTGGTAGCAATGGATGTATGTCTTACAACAATAATGAGATCAGTGATGATGATGTTTGCTACTATGAAGGTGTGGACAGTTCTGACATTTTCATCAACAATTGTAGCAGCGATGAATCTTTAACCTCATCTGGTGAATTAAAACATAATAAGCTATTAACCCCTTATAAGGGTGCAGATGAAAATCAACACCATACAGGTACAAGCTCTAATTTAAAACCTGCTGAACAAGAGGACACTGAAGAGAAAACAGAAAAAGAATCATCGCCACCAGAACCTACGTCAACTGTGAGTGGGTCTGTTTCTTCTCCACCCTCTAAGAGATTACGGAGGTCTTCGGGGCAAAAAGCTAAAGAAAAATTGAAGGCTCTGTCTATTATGAGATCTCCTAACAGCTCTGCCAACAACAAAGTGGAGAATGATAAAATACCCGAGGCAGTACAGACTAAAATTGCAAGAGTGAAAAAGGAGTTGGATGTGAGTTTATCAGAGGAAGTGGCAATTGAACAAATAGTTAAATCTGATCACTTAAGATCTTCAAGTAAAACACCTGTAAAGTATCCTGTAGTGGTGCTTGAAAAATCAAGCATAAGTAAATCTCCTATCATAAAAGAGGAAAAATATGATCTAATAGATTTAACTGATGCATGTAATGATGGTGCTTCAGCCGGATTAGAATATCTGCAAGCTTGTGATACGAATGAATCAAAAAAGATTAAGTTGGAAAGTCAAGAAACTACATCAGCCAAGCCAATTAAAAAAAATGCTGATGAAATGGAAGTTGGAGATCAACTTGCTCAAGTAAAACCTATTCCACGTACTCCAAACAGAAAGCCGAGAAGAAGACCACATAGGATGAAAAGTGTGAAAAAGAAAGACAAACTATATGGAAAGGGGAAACGAAATGATGAGGTAAAAGATTCATTTAAGTCAATGAAATTTTCCAGAACTCTTGATTTGATGAAGGCACGTCGTAGAAGAGAGACTTCATCATTAGGTCCATTTATTAGAGTCACCGGAAAACCAAATGCTCCTGATACAGTGTCAGTTTTTAATCAACCAGTCCCTGAATTAGCCATTGTAGCAGCTAATAACAAACATTCTAAAAGTAAAAAATTGCATTCATTACCTAATGTGACCACAGTTCACATGGTGACCAATCTACCCACTGATAAAACAGCAATGATCTCATCCAATCGTACTATCAGCCAGGATCCTTGGGTTTGTGCCTTTTGTTCACACCACAGTAGCTACAGGTTTTTAGGAGACTTATTTGGCCCATACTTTAAAGAAAGTGAAATTAATGATGTTGAAAGTATAGCTTTGGAAGAAAGCAAGAAGAGTGATATGTCTAAAGAACTAAAAACACCTGACTTTAATATCGTCAAAAAAAAAGCAAATGATCTCAACTTATTAGAGAAAATAAATAGCGGAAGCAGTAGGAAACGAGGCAAATCAGCATTAACTCTAAAACCTCCAGAGCAAAATCTTGCACCACCAGAGGAAGTTTGGATTCATGAAGCTTGTGCTATTTGGTCACCTGGTGTCTGTATGGTTGGGAACAAACTGTATGGTCTAGATGAGGCTGTGAAAGATGCACGTGATACTGTAAGTAGATTAAATATATAAATTTTGTTTTGAAGCCTCGCTCTTAATCTTATTGAACTATGCTCAAAAGTTCTATTGAATCATAAAGATAAAAGCATTATATATTATAGTTATAGTATTATAATTATGGAAAGCTTTTAATTAAAAAGGTAAGCAGGTTTTCTGGTAATTTTATTTATATTTCCTTTAGAACTAACAATTATAACAATAAAATATTATCAAAATAATTTATTCCATCAAGAAGATAAAATAAATGTCAAAAATCATAATTTGTCTGATTCATACATGAGTGAAAGACCAAAAATCAAAATATGAATGGTTTAAATATCTTTTTTAAACCCCATTAAAGGATTAATGAATTTAAAAAATTTTAAAAAAGCATGGTTAAAAAAAGGCATTGTGAAAAGTTTCATCTTAGTATCTTAGTAGGGGATCAGCAACATACCAAGTGAAGTTCTCAAAGGTTTGAAACAGGAGAGACTTAAAACAGGGGTTTTAAAAATATGCTGTTGCTATATCTGCTTTTAATTATTTTTTTTATGGATTGCATATAATACCATAAATGTGTCTCTATCATCACTAGTTATGCTCTGTGTGTAAATCAAAAGGTGCTATGATTGGTTGTCTTCACAAAGGCTGTTCCATGAAATATCACTTCATTTGTGCTGTAGATAAAAAAGGTATAGTAGATGTTTTTTCTGAAAATTATTCAAAATTAAATAATACACTTAGGTACAGGTTATTTCAAAGGAAGGCCCTATCTTTGCAGCAAAGTCCACCCTCAATATGGTCCTCAATACGCCACTGTGAAATACCTGTAAACATGCGTCATTTCACTATTAACATACATGTTTCACACATTTGAAATAGTCACTTTAAATTGAGGATGTTATGTTAATTTTTTAATTTTTAAAATTATCAGTTTGAGTGTTTTAAATTGATCAGTGGGCCATATAAAACTTTAAATTAGCATATGACACCTAATTTTATTATTTATATCCCAAAAAAGTCACAATGGATTTATTGATTAATTTAAAAACAGTATTTTCACTACAAATGTTTAAAAACCCAACATCTCATAATTGTTATCAGAAATTTAATTATCGTTTAACATCCTTACTTTAAATTTCTTACCCCATTATAAGTAAGAAATAAATTTCTAAACAATTAAAAGTTCTAATATTCTAATAAAAAATGACTATGAAATATCAAATAATCTACTAAAGAAAAGTTTTTAAACACTTCTAATCGATACGGGTAGTTAGAGTCTTTTAATATTATAGTCTCTATCTGATCTATAAGAATTTCAATAGCAATATATTATGTGATTTGATAATGTATAATAAAAAAAGAAGACTTGTTTTTAGCAAGTAACTAAATAAAAATAGATTGGATACATTTTTTAAAATATTAATAAACTCAGATTTTAAAAAATTGTGATTATTTTGGTCCAATGTAAATCATCTCCACCCTGGAAGTTAAAAATAAATCTACTTCATCTGCATAACAAATATTTATTTTTAGTTTAAACTGTCCTTTGGGGGGTCCATTAATTAAGTCAACAAAATTTGGGGGGAGGTGGGGGTTGTTGGAAATGTTTGACAGTTGTTGACAAGGGGAAGGGGGGCGGTTAGATTAGTTGAAGTCAACAATCATGTTTTCTCTATTAAAATTTTAATCTTAAAAATTGACTGGCTATTACATTATTTTTAAAAATTTATAAATGGAAATGAGTTTAAATAGTTTTATAATTTTAGGCTTTAATCCAGTGCTCCCCAAATGGCGGTCCATGGACCTTCACCAGTCCGCATGCCTAACGCTGCCCCCATAACATAAATATTTATTGTCAAAGAGAAGTAAAAGTAAAAAATAAAACATTCACCGGTCCCTGGTAAAATTTCGAAACTTGTTCACTGGTCCGCCAAACTTAAAAGTTTGTGAACCACTGCTTTAAAAAATATAAGATTTATTTAATGTGTGTCTGTGCACTGCAGATTGGTCAGAATGTTAGCACACTTTGTTAGTGCAAGAGAAGTCAAAAGTTGGCCTCTCTTCACCTGTAGATTCTGTTGCAGGTATGGAACAAGGTTCAAGTGTCATGTGCATTCAAGATAAATGATATAGAGTAGTAATGCGATATTTTGAGAATGAGGTGAATGTAAAGCCAGTTAACAATAATAACATCGCTGCTTGAATGGATTTGCAAAATCTTTAAAATCTATTTTGCATCACAAGTCATGTTGAAAAAAGCATGTTATACAGAACCGCCTATGCCCTCTTGAGCATAAGAAATTAGCACCTGCCTCAATAAAAAAGGATTCGACCAATGCGAGGAGGTGCAAGGAGATAGATAGAGCTTATGGCAATTATTGCTCACACCGAAAATGCTTCTATTTTAAGTGCTGAATGGTTAGATGAGGATGATGTTGACTTGTCTGGTTATATCAGTGCCGCAAGATTAAAATGATCAATCAGCTGCTATAGGCTATACCCATCAGGGGCGTCATTTCACTTTTTTTCAGTGGGGAGGAGGGCAAAACCAAAACTTGGTTGGCTTGTTAAATTGTTTATTACTGTAGGCGCCACAGTACACAGCAATTTAAATAAAACCTGCAAATTAGGGGGTGGGGCAAATGCCCTACCAAAATGATGTCCCGGATGCCCATTGTTACGAAAGAGCAAATCTGGCTACTCCTTGAGAAGATGATAGTAGCTACAAACTATACTGCAATTGTCAGCTTTACTGACAATAATCATATTTATACCACAAACAATGATATTTAGTCTTTAACAACCTTTCAATTGATTCTGCATTATAAAATTTAAGTGTAAAAACATTTTAACTTATTGATTAACAAGCTAAAGATGCAATGAAATGTTTTTCCTAAAATTTTATTGCCATTAAAATCGATCAGCACAAAGTAAAATGTATTAATAATATAATACCTTGGGGGGGTGGGTGTGTGTGACATAATTTAAATAGGGGGGGGGGGTCATTGAAGGTTTGACAGTTGTTTACAGGGGGGGGAAGGGGGGCAAAATTGCTTAAAAAGTGTTGACGTAATTTATGGACAACCCCTTTCCTACTATTTTAGAATGTTGTCTCTACATGAAAAAGTTATTTACAAAGTTTTGTTAATATTTAAATAGGGGGGGGGGGTCATTGAACGTTTGACAGTTGTTTACAGAGGGGGGAAGGGGGGCAAAATTGCTTAAAAAGTGTTGACGTAATTTATGGACAACCCCTTTCCTACTATTTTAGAATGTTGTCTCTACATGAAAAAGTTATTTACAAAGTTTTGTTAACCTTTTTCAGAGTGCTTTTTGGATGAAGAAAATCTTTCATTACTGTGTCCTAAACATAAGGTAAGAAACCATAGTATTTTCCATCTTGTTACATATTTCAGTTGCAGGAAATTTCTTGTCTTAATATAAACATATATTGGAGAAAAAAAAATTTAATATTTTTTTTGGACAAATTTGATATTAGAGATAATGTTAATTTTTTTTTACATTTTCATATAACTTCAACGTAACTGTATTGAGTTCATAATCACTGAATTAAAGGTTATTAGTCGTAGATTCTAATATTATTTTCATGCTAATTGATTTAAGTTAACCTTTAACACAGATTTTATAACTATTTTAAAACATTTTAAATCCTTATCTATTTTCTTTTTTTTTTTTCATAAGGACAAAAAAATTAGCTTTGCTGGACCTTCAAAGTCTTGACACTCCGACTCAGTGTTACCAATTAATGATGTGTGTCACTTTACTTACTTGAGCAAATAAAATAGTTTTGTAAATAACATTTATGAGATACTTCCCATCAATTAGTGTATTCAAAATGAATATGTGTAAAGGAATGTATTTGAAAAAGGTATTTTGTAGCTGTGTTCATTCTTCTTATAAATTGTTGCTGTTTGATTGTATGGTAGAAATGTCTTGTATATATTGAAGACAATTGTATTATTCCAATGTAGAGATCTCAATGAATTATGTGAACAAGCTTTACTTAGATTTATACATCTAGCAGAAGTGATGCCACATATATATCATAAATATTGTGTAATATTTATTGAATCTGCTGGATTATTAAATTACGATTAAATCTATTAATTAAGAGGTAATCCTCCGTTATAATATCTTTGTGACTAACCCCAGAATTGTTAAATACAAGTGGATGAACATTGGTTGTTTTTTTTTTACTGTCAGTTGTATTTGATTAAAAAGTATGCTTGCATCCCCTACAAAGATATGGTTCTAACTCTGTACCCACACATTGTACCTCTAAAAATAAGATATTGTACCCACACATCATTTCATGTATTGTTTTGGATAAGTTACAGTCGAAAATAATCTTTAAGAGCTACATGTCAAATACGGTGTTCCCAAAACATTTCAACGCTCTACTCTTTTATTATAGTCATGGAAGTCACTGAATAGGATTCTAGATTAATATTAAATGCTATGCTTACACTTACAACCTGCTGTGGCGTAGCTGGCCAGTAAAATTTTAAAGCAGAGGAATCGTTTCAAAACGGAATCCACAAATACATCCTGAATTTTATCATGAATGTTGGCTTGGTATGCTCTGGAGAGAAGTATCACTAAAATAACTTTTTTTAAATATTCAAGGTGACCAATAATCTCTTCCATCAGATTCCTCTAATATACTGCAGTTTTTTTTCTAACATGGGAATGTTGCCCAGATAAGTTTTCCAGTGCCCGTTGTGCAGCTTGCAACTTGCATACAATTTTCTGAACATTTCCTTGAATATCTTTTTCCTGTACATGAAATTCCAGATTTATCTTAAGTTGCTTTAATATATCTACTACTCTAGCCAAGTTTGATTATAAAACTGAACGACATTTTTATAGACTTTTGAAAATCTACACATTGCAGTTTAGAAAAATAATTATTTAATGACCTGGAATAAGAATTTACATAGTTAAATTGTTCTTTTAAAATTATTTCCTATGGTACCATATTTTTTGTATTTTAAAATTTTGATTGTAGAATTAAGAGAACATATTGGTCTTGCAAAAAGGCAAGAAAGGGCGATAATTCATGCAGGGAATGTTTGCCATAAGTTTGACCTTAGGATAGCTGATCATCTATACCAGTGGTTCCCAAACGTTTAAGTTTGGAGGACAGGTGAAAAATTTTCAAAATTTTACCAGGGACCGGTTCACGATTTATTTTTATACTTTTATTTCTATTTGACAATAAATATTTATGTTATGGGGACCGGCAGCGTCAGGCATGCGGACTGGTGAAGGTCCACGAACCGCCATTTGGGGACCACTAATCTATACAAACACACACAAAATTTTATAGTCCATAGACTTCCAGTTTAAATTAAACAAATTTACAATAACATTTTCACATATTAAAGGATTTCTTAGCACACAGCAATACAACAACTTGCCTTTGTATTATTTGAGTGAAGTTAGTTCATGAATACATGCAAATGATAAGATGAATTTACATTAATTGGCTCATCAACTTGAAAACAATGGGAAGGGTGATTTCTTTCAAAACTATGTTTTATAGATATGTCAGTAATGCACCTGTAATTGATGTTATGGAAAAGATAGTTGACTTAGGGGTTGTGTCAGTGCTGGTGGTTTGTGAATATCTACCTTGTAGATTATGTCTTGAAATAATGATTTGTTATACAACTTTAATAGTTTAGGTTTCAACTATCATGTTGCTAACCATATCATTATCAGTTTGTATTCTCAAAATGACACAATGTTCCGAAAAACTATGTTAATTAATGAGTTTCATGCATAATGTAAATGCTATAAAGTAGTTAAAGTAAGTTGGACTGTGATAAAGCTATTATTGAGTAGCTCATTTCAAAGTTTCTATTCTGTTTAGAGGATGGTAGAGTAAAAATTGTTACAGTAATGTAATAGCCACATTTGGGTGCTATTTTTTCTTTAAAATTAAAGAAACCAACCAAAAACAAAACAAAATAGAATTTCCTGGTTGAACATACATCTTGTCTTTTTTATTGGAAACATCTTTTTTTTGTTTTGGAAGTGGAAGCACCATTATTCTCTCCACCTGCCAGTTGCTACAGACTAATCCAGTTGGTGTAAGCTGCATTTGTACATGCCTGGTTTGTCAATGTGTGATACCATGTATACCAGTGGTTCTCAACCTTCCTAATGCCACAACCCTTTGACACAGTTCCTCATGTTGTGGCGACCCCCCAACCACAAAATTATTTAGCTTGCTACTTCGTAACTGTGGAGTATGTGTGTTTTCCGGTGGTCTCAGGCCACCCCTGTGAAAGGGTCACTCGACCCCCTAAAGGGGTCGCAACCCACAGGTTGAGAACCGCTGATTGTATACTAATGAGTGAGATTGTCCCTATATGGTTATCATGTTACTGGTAATACTTAAACTTGTATTTATGTGGTCTGATATTGTGTGGTTCCATGTTTAATAATGAGTGAGATTGTTCCTATACTATATGACTGTCATGTTCCTGGTAATAGTACTTAAACATGTATTTATGTGGTCTGTAAATGTGCGGTTCCATGTACACTACTAATGAGTGAGATTGTTCCTATATGACTATATGATTATCATGTTCCTGGTAATAATTAAACTTGAATGAATTGCTGTCCTATTTAATTTATTACTGTAAGTTGATCAACTGGTCCATGTACATTAAGGGAATAGGTGTGATGTAACCTCTGTAAGTAAATGTATTCTGTTAGTCAGTCGTAATCCTGTATTGCAATAAAAGAATTATGTGATTTATGTTTAGACTTTATATTAAAATGATTCTGATCCTTGTTTGGGCTTGATGATTGAAGATCACTTGCTTCTAGTTCTAGTTGTCACGGATGATTAAATAAGAGAACTATCATTTTTAAAGTTGGATACAACTCCATTTATAGCTTTTAACTTCGTGTTACACCAAACATAAAAGCAATAGCTTAGTTAATGCAGTTCTTTCATATAAACATGAACATATTTTTAGGTTTTGATGATACTAATAATATAATACTTACGCATTGCCATGACTAGGCTATATGTTTGAATTTTTAAAAAAAAATGTATTGACAGACTGCTTTCTATCAAAAGGGTCGGTTAGCATTTCAGAAGGCATACATAATTGCTGATTATAATGAACCTGCTTATTCAGTTAGATATTAATAATAATAATATACCTGAACTAATTGTTAACCTATTTATTGTTGACCAGCCTCACTGCCTGGTACTCACCTGTATTTGGTCAACAGAAAGGTCAGTATTGGCTGGACGGGTGGCGATTTTTTTTTTTTTTTAATTGTTGGAGGGGTGGGGTGGTGCCCGCAGAAAACTTTCTAGGGGGGGGGGGCAAAAATCTATTAACTTTTTAACTTTCCGGGGGGGGGGGCAAAAAAATTTTTTGTGATGTTTTAATGTAGTCTTAATTTACTGTAGCGTATTTGTATGGTGAACGGACAGGACAGGACATCAGCTTAGTTACTTTCTCTTTATTTTATCTCTACTTTAATACATTTTTTGTCTAAAATTTTTGTATCCAATCAATCCAGGGGGGGTGCAAGTGCCACCCCCTGCGGGCGCCCATGGTGGTGTTGTATTCATTTATAATTATACAAATAAGTCATGTATTAACAATAAAAGGATTTTGATTACCGTACCTGATTTTGAATTCTAAGTCGGTGAAGTGAAAATGTACTTCCTCCCTCAACAAAATCATTTATTTAAATTTTAGTGGATACCGGTATCGTAATTCATATAAGTATGTTTGCAAAACCATTTAATAAGGCAAAATATCATCTATCTATGCACTTGGCATTTAAAATGCCCACTTGGTAGGAAGTCAGACCTGCGTCTAAACTTACAAAAGGAACCCCCCACCCCCCAATATTGAGTACCGTACACGGTAGCTGAATCGTCTTCAGTTATACTATAATTCTATACCTGATCCCGTATCAGTTATTGTAATGGTTCTCAACATTTGCTGACACGATTAACTCTACAATTTAACATTTCAATTTATGTGCTTCAAAGTAAGGTGAAAAAACACTTAAATCGTGCAATAATTTTAACAAATGCCACTGGCTGTTTCTATCTTTAAGGGGTGGCAGTGCCACTAGGATGAAGTACCGAACACCAGAATGCTGTTATTAATTTAATACCAATAAATTGAAGTGAAAAATCCAATTGACTTCAAAATATGATTCATTTGATTTTAATTTAATACTGATTTATTCTCAGGAGTTTGAATGCCTAAGCCAAGGGTCCTTAAACTACAGCCCGCCTCGAGCTTAATCCTGGCCGCCGTAATGGCACCACGCTGGCAACGCCAAATGAGATATGAAGCCAGACATTAAAATATCGTTAGGCAAACTTCCTTTTGAAATACTATTAAGTTAATGTTAGATATTTTTCTACCACAGAAGAAATATTTGCATAGAAATAGAGTTAGTATGTATAGTCACGCCACCGATAGTGTCTGAAGGACACTAATCCGGCCCCTTGTGTAGAAAGTTTGAGGACCACTGGCCTAATCTTTTTTTTGAAAACAATGGGAAGGGTGATTTCTTTCCAAACTATGTTTTATAGTTCTTTTCTAAAAAAAAAAAAAAATATTAGTGCAGGGGTTCCCAAGTTTTTGGTTCCACGACGTCTTTGCTAAGTATATTTCCTTTCAATTTCAAGTAATTAGCCCTATAACAAACTAAAAGGTGCACTGCGAAATAAGATTGCACCTTTTAAGTTTAAGGCGGCAAGAGAAGTGCCACTGCCATTGTAACAACCGGTTCACCGAACCCAACATATTACGTGACGGTTTTGGCGAACCGGTTGAATCCCACTACTGGTTTAGGAGCTTTAGGTCACCAACTGTGGGGGGTGGCTGGTCTGCAGTGAACACCAGTGCAGTATCAAAACGGTTACCGGTATGACTAGTGTCATTCGCAAACTTTTATTTTTAAATTAGGCCTATCGTGATATCAGTTCTTTTTAAAAAGTATAGTTTTTAATAGCTAAAGATGAGAATATAAATAAAATATATTATTTTATTTAAATTAAAACCAAACTAATTTCAAATTGCGATATTTAAACAAAAGCGCAGAACTTCAGTGGTTGCCGGAAAAAAAAAAATATATATATAGATGTCTACGGGCGCCATACTAGTTAGGGCGTCAAAATAGGTATGATATTTTAATAAAGATACTAATGGGGTGGGGGCATAAATTATACGTCACTCTAGCCGCGCCTTTGTCCAAACTCAAGTTGTTACTTAATCTGAACTAACCGAACGAGACACTTCTTTTTGCTATAATTTTTCAGAGCGAACGTGTAGCATTCCTGTAAATTAAAATGAACTCCTTACGGTTCTCGTAATGACTGGCACTGCTTCTAATAGATTGAAAAATATAAAAGCAAATTTAAATCCATTCACAACGGGTCTTGCCATTTTGGATATTTAATCTTAAATTGATTGGCTTATGAGACAAAATTCATTTATTGATACTAAGGATACCGGTACAAAAAAACAAAAAAAAAATGGATTAAAAAACAAAAATATATAGACTACATATATTTCTTTGGAGATCATTGTACTGTAGCATGTAAGATAAAAACACAGATGATAAAAATTCTTATTGGGCTGACCAATTTAAACCAGGAGAATTTGAGACATTTTGTTTTAAAAAGTAGGTATACCGCAATTAATAATTTTTAATTTAAAAAAGAAAAAAAAAATTCTTTAAAGTAAAGACAAAATAAACCATTTGCCGGCACCAGTGTATTGTACAACTTTTTAAATTCAAGAACCTCTGAAATGTGCTATTATTTATTATCTAATAAGAGTTATTCAAAGTAAATTAACATGTAAACGTGTGTTCTTTCCTGTTTCTACCCGCATATAAAGAAAACACACAATTAAATAGAAAACGATTCTGAAAGAATTCAAAAATTGCGATAACTATTGTCGATCATAAGTATTTGGAAGTTACGGAACCCGATATTTTTGGGCTGGGAAAAAAAAACTTTTCTTCAAAACAACAAATTTAAAAGTATGTGTTAAAAAAATCTGATCAAAGTGTAATTCTCCCTGTCTGTTTGGGAACGAAAACGCTCTGTTTGAAATGGAAGTAGGGTTGTTCAAAACCAAAGCTTGTTTTCCACTCAATTCTTCTGTGGTGCGTATTATCAAGGTAAAAGAAATTTAAAATTATTATTGTGAAGCTTAATATTTTAAACGACAAAAAAAAAAAAAAAACAGAAATGGATAGGAATTAAGGACCTTTTGTAAGAGACTATTTGATTGATTCCATGTGGTGATATGGTGACGAAAACTGAATTAATTTGTTTTCATCTCTTCAAGTTTGTATTAGTGCAAGGAATTAGAGCCGTGATGGCATGGATACATCTGATGTGTCCATGTTCTGCCGCCCTATTCTCAGCTAGCCAAAGTTTACGTTTTTCAATTGTTTTAAAGACTCGGATTTTAAAAAAATAAATTCTTACGCACGCTGTTGCATGTGGATATTCCCGAGAAATGCTGCAATAGGCATTAGGCTTAAACTGTATGTATAGAAAGATAAACAATTTTGGAACAGCAATAAATAAATAAAAGACAGTGACGTTGAAAAGAATACACTAATGGGAAGTGACGAAAACCGCACATTCTTTTCCCATGTAGTTCAAAATGGAGGATACTACAAAATACATAATGTTAAAAATTTTATTGCTATATTGAAACAAATTTGCCCTTCCCTGACATAAATATGGAAGAATGTAGACATTCCCCCCCGCGGCTCTAGATCATCGGAAGCCATATAAGGCTAATAATATGCCACCGGAAACAGGAATTCCCGTAAAAGGATGACTCAGACGTCAATTGTAGATTTATAAAGCACCAAAATATTAAAAGTACAGTTTTTAAAAGTTTTTCTCTTCTAATCAGAATATTGGCTGGAAAAATTATATGCAACAAAGTTACTTAATTACCATTTTTTTTTCGTGTACAAGAACTTTGAGCAATGATTTAAAGCGTATCTCCCGCGCTGTATTTTTAGACCTACTATATAATGAAAAAAGGCGTGTCAAGTTCCCGATTGTTCACGTGACTCACAGCAGCCAGTACAGTACCCACTACCCACCGTCAGTCGTTCTTCTGCTAGTCAGACTTCCTTCTTTACATTAGAACGAATCGGTGGTTGAATCAAATACTTTTTTTTTAAACATGTGTAAAGCATAATTTAATTTGATGTGTATTTCTTTAACTATTTAAGTGACTTTTAAAAAGAAAATTTAAAAAAGTAACTGTTTACTTCAACTTTTCATGTTGCCAGCTTCGGATCTGTGATCCCGGAAAAGCTTAGCGATTCATAACAAGATGGCGGATTTCGAGGGTGCCTCGGGTTTGAGTGCCACTGAATTAAGTTATCTCGCTATTGACCGTTCTATTATCAACGACCCAGCAGTCCAAGCAGAATGGGCATCCAAAAAGCTTGTCTGGGTTCCAGACGAAACTCATGGCTTTGTTGCAGCCAGCATAAAAAGCGAAAAAGGTGACCAAGTAGAATGTGTTGTGGATGAAACCGGCAGAAAAATAATGATTCACAGAGATGATATTCAAAAGATGAACCCACCTAAGTTTAATAAAGTGGAAGATATGGCAGAACTCACTTGCTTAAATGAAGCATCAGTACTACATAATCTCAAAGACAGATATTATTCTGGTTTGATCTATGTGAGTATAAAAATATATTATTAATAATTAGGTCTATCCCCAACTTACTAATTATTAAACTTATTATTATTAGTACTCTTAAGTCTAAGTAAATGTACTGAAACTCAGTTTCACTTAGTGAAGTAATAGTAGTTATTTGTAGTAAGGTAAATTTTGGGTTAAGGGTATGGGTTTTGCCAAGAGTTGTCGCTTTGAGGAATTCCAACACTGGACTTAATCTTAAGTCTTACGAAGTGTCTACACGTCTGGCGCGCCGCGCGCTGGACAAATAGTGCTGGAGATATACGTCCTCCCACTCAGCATTACTTCCTTCTAGAATGCATTATTGCTTAACCCCACTTTGTTTTGGTAGTATACCCAAGTATTTTTTTTCTATTATTTGTTTGCAAGATAATTAGTAAATTACTTGGTAGAGAAATAGATTTTAAAATGAACAATAGTACAATATTTTTTAATCATTCGTGGTCACGTGACAAGGCTGACAGACGAATATCTCGAGCCACTTTGTTACGGCGGTCTGTGACTTGGTCGCCGGACAGATAGTGCAGGAGATATACATCCGGCGCATCGGACATGTAGACACTGCCTAAGTCTTAAGATGACAGGAACAACACTAACAGTCAGTTGGACTTAAACTGTCTCTTAAACTTAAACGATGAGTACCAGTATAACTTTCCCATTCTTCACTGAGGATTTTTGCATCATCATACACGTAATCTGATGATCAATACAGTTGCCGGTATATGAAATAAATTATGTAGACATTTTCCTTTCATTTTTATTAAAATGTAATTTACGAAGTTTAGAAGAAATTAAAAAAAAAAAACAACCTCACCATTGCTGATACCCTAAGAAGACTAAGACGAACATCGGGAAAAGACACGAATTGTTAATAGAGGCTTTCTTTTGATTTGTTGATAAATGAATTACCAGAATGCTATTCATTTCTATAATGTTGCAATTTAATGTTGATGGGATATTTAAACTTTTTCTGGAGAGAGTAGAACACACACACACCCCCCTTTCTTTTTCTTTTTTTTCCCAATATAAAAATAAGATATAAATTATTTCGGGGGAGTCCTCGCCCTCTACTTTCAAATGAATAAATGGGAAAAAAATAAAATTTTATTCAATAAATACAGAGCTAAAAAAAATATTTTTTTTGTAAAACAGAACTATGATCTGTAGTTACCTGGGCCAGTTTGGGGAACCCTCATGACCTCCTATATGGCATGAAAGACATCGTTGGGCCTGCCGCTAACTGCATTTTAGCATAAATAACATTTATTTTTTATAAACTTTTTGTTATCCAATGCTATGCAAATTTATTTTTTTAAAAATAACATGTAGGACTGGTCTTTTAATTTTTTTTTAACCAAATAGGCCTAATATGAGTACTAATGTACTTTATAACATGACAAAATTAAAAATGATATCCCTTTGATGTCTGGTACCATGTATAAATGATTTCTAGCTATTTTGGCTGATTTTTTTTAACCCCACCCCCACCTTTTTATCATCACAAAATTGTCAAACAATTTAGATAACCTCATAACTCATACTACATTTTCACAAGTTTTTGATTTCCCCTAAATATATAACATCATATTTCAATGGATGGCCCAATTCCTATTAATTAATTAATATGCTGCCTACACATCCCTTGTTTAGGAATTTTACTTGTTTTTATCCACTTCTGATTTTCCAAGAAACAAGACAAAGTTAATGTGCATTGCTTCAACTTAGAGTATTAATTCTGGTTTTTCAAAATTGTTAATGAGTTTGGTAGAATGTTAGGTTGACATAATTATTTTGGCAATGTCATTAATAAAAAATTTTTTTTCTCTAAAATGAAGCTGTCTTGTTTGCATTGAAAACAAAATGAAATATTTTAATTTTTGTTTTTTCTGTCAACTTCTTTATGGTTAACCAAAAATTCTAGGCCTTGACAGACACACATCTCTCAAGGATATTGTGATATTAGAGCATATATTGTAGAAAAAAAGATAGACCATATCATTTTAAGTCTTATGATGACTGAGATAACTGATGTTTACAATATATGGGGCACATGGTAGTCCCGTTCCCCCCCCCCCCCCCGTTTTCACATTCTTACATGTTACTTAAACACATTTTTCCTTTCAGACATACTCTGGATTATTTTGTGTGGTTGTGAACCCTTACAAAAAGCTGCCCATTTATACAGAGAAGGTCATTGAGCTTTATAAGGGCAAGAAACGCCATGAAGTACCACCCCATGTATTTGCCATTGCTGACTCTGCTTATCGGTGCATGTTGCAAGGTATTTAATGAGCCTTAAGAATTAGGGAACAACCAGGTAGATATTTTCAACAGTTCCAAATACGATTTTTTTTTTTTTAGGACTACTATTTGTCAAATACCTCATTGGTATTAATAGTAGTATTTTCTGAGGCGAATACTTGAAAAAAATTGTAATATTGACTGGGGCAAATGTCCGAGGCTATTTCTGGTTGTTCCCTATTTAATATTATTTATTATTATAGTATTATCTTTAATAGAATCATTTCCAAATTACAGTTGAAACTCTTCTACCTGTTACCAATAATGGCAAGTGGTAGTCCATATAATTAAGAATCAGGATAATCATTGTTATAAAATAATGGGATTGTTTAACAGACGTTTTGTGTAATAGTTTTTGCAATATGCTTTGCTTTTGATCTTCTGACGTACATTGTATATTCCTGGGTAAGAACTATACAGATAACCAAATGCCTGGATAATTGATGTTGAGTTATTCAAATTTCACATCAAGTCATTCTTTTATGTTTAGCATTATAATTTCCCATTACAAATAACTGATCTTAAAGATTACCTAGAATTATGCTTTCCTTTTATTTGCAAATGCTGATTAAAATTAAATTTGGCCTAGAAGATCTGTTTCTTTTAATTGCTACAGAGCTCAAATGATAAATAAAGATATTTAGATTAATTTTTTTGAAATTATTTTTGCTTTGTCTCATTTCAAAGTTCACTTAAAATCAATCCAGCAAGTTTGTCCGTGAGCAATATTTTAATTAAGTAAAACAGGGCAGTAACGTTTAGATCTATGATGATTTTTCTTCAATGTTCACGCTGTCTTTTTTTTCTGCTCATTTACAGCTTTTTTCATGTGTTTTTTTAAAAAAATTTTCAATAACAATAATAGGTAGGAAAGATAGGGTTATCGTTAATATTAAAATACATTTTTAATGTATTCAAAATCTTGAGATGGATGGGCATTGTACAAAAATTATTATACTAAACTATTAACTGTTAAATATATAAAAAGGCATGTATTGCACATTAGTAAAAGTGTAAAACATTTGTCATAAGCTGGGCCTTAGCAAAGACAGTGCTGATACTTTTTTAATGGTAAGGATTACAATTTCGTGTATCACAATGTTACTGTAAACTGACTGATCTGATTTCCTCCTTGGTTTAGTTGTTCCAATAGCTTTTAACTATTAAATCCAAGAAGAGTGAGGGTTTTGAATGGTTTGGCTATTTTATTATGTGGGGCTTGCTGATCTGGTCAATTTTGAAATAAGTACATATTATATCACATAATTTAAAAAAAAAAAAAAAAATTAAAAAACCCCATGAATTTGTGTCAGCTGCAGAGATAATAAAGAATGAATGCCCCAGTTTAAATGGCACTTGCTTTAAAAGCAGCTTATAGCTTGCTTATGGTGGTCACATGTTTTCATTTCACACAGCAATTCTTTCATAAGCCAAAATGTTATAAGGTGTCAACTATTAAGGTAGAATTTCAGGAGAAGCTGTGCATTCCTTAGTGTTTATAAGTAGGCCTGCATAGATATACATCATTACCGGCTGTGCACATTAATTTTTAAATCCTGTTACAACCTGTTTATTGATCCACACTATACATTGCAGAGGGGTTGGGGAAAGGTACCCCATAAATTAATATACTAATTAATTCTAGAGTAAGTGAAAATAAAATATAACCTATTTGACATGTTTTTTAAATATAATTTTTATGGGAGTCTCCATTGCCATATTGCAATATTATATACAATGACATTTCCCTATTACTATTGTGACCATAAGTAATATTTAAAATGGAGATAAAACATTTCAGAGCACCTTTGCCCATCCTCTAAGTAAAACTATAATAAAGTATCATGACTATGTTAAGTGCACTCCACTCCTTTTTTCAAGTGGAGAGTATAGGGAAGTAGACACTTGCTTTGTCTCAACCCGAAAGGACTGTCAATTTAAAGAAATGTAGAGTCGGCATTTACATCCATGGTTCTATTCTTGTTCATATTGATTTATGGATATTCATCTAAGTGAAATTATCTACATATTGATTTATGGATATTTGGATATTCATCTAAGTGAAAGGATCTATCACCCGCCACCTCACACACATTCAAATACAACTTTTCAAAGTTTAAAATTGTGGTCTGTCCTCTGCACCCACACTTTCATTGACAACAACCACACCTTTCAGGTACAATACCCATATACTGTCAATTTCAACAACCACACCTCAGTTTCAACAACCACACCTTCGTTTACAACAACCTCACCTTTCATTTACAACAACCACACCTTCGTTTACAACAACCTCACCTTCCATTTACAACAACCACACCTTTCATTTACAACAACCACACCTTTCATTTACAACAACCACTCCTTTCAGTTACAACACACATACTATCAGTTTAAAAACCCACACTTTCAGTCCCACACTTTCAGCTTTCAGTCCCACACATTCAGCTTTCAGCTTTCAGTCCCAAGCTTTCTGTCCCACACTTTCAGTCCCACACTTTCAGCTTTCAGTCCCACACTTTCAGTCCCACACTTTCAGCTTTCAGTCCCAACTCCCAACACTTTCAGTCCCACACTTTCAGTGAAAACACTCTTTGTTACATCACCCACCCTTGCAGTTACACAACTATATAGTGCCAAATTATATTAATTCCGAATCTTAGTTTTAAGAGTAAAAATTATCGGTCAGGAAAAACAACAAAGAACAACCACTACAATAAATTGACTTGGAACAATGTAAACTGTGAGCAGTTATGCCAATTGTTTGTTTTTTTGTTGTTGTTTTTTTAGTCCAATGTTTGTGGGACGTCATGTGGTTAATTTTGATGTGCATTGTTACTTTCGAGTCGTATCTGATAAGTGCACATTCCTGGTACATGAACTGTCAGCTCGCTCGAGTTTTAACACACGACCTGTTGTTGGCGTCGCCGTGATAATAAAGTAAGAATGTATTCGTTACTGTCGGCAATAGTTTGTACTTTCCCTTCCCGTCTGCCTGCAGTCCCACCGTCCTGTTATGGTTACTGTCGGCAATAGTTTGTACTTTCCCTTCCCGTCTGCCTGCAGTCCCACCGTCCTGTTATGGTTACTGTCGGCAATAGTTTGTACTTTCCCTTCCCGTCTGCCTGCAGTCCCACCGTCGTGTTATGGTTACTGTCGGCAATAGTTTGTACTTTCCCTTCCCGTCTACCTGCAGTCCCACCGTCGTGTTATGGTTACTGTCGGCAATAGTTTGTACTTTCCCTTCCCGTCTACCTGCAGTCCCTCCGTCCTGTTATGGTTAGCCTGTCCCATTGAAGCGGCATTGAAGCACAGTCCTCTAAACACGGTTTGACTGGGGGCGCCCGTATTAGGACCTACCTTCTAACGGACCTACTTAATGAATGAGGTCACACGTGCCGCTTCACTGACCCCCGTCAGTGGTGTTTAAATCAGGCAAACACTTATGTAGCAAACAGCAGCTTAAGTGAGGGGGAAACTTACTGGCTACTAGCCTCTCGTACGAAATTAGTTCTGATCAGCTGGTGAATGTTTTTATTGCTGTTGTTAACTTTTCGTGAGGAGAGGTCGCTCGGCTAGGGAAACATTCTGATGTCAATACAGACGAGTAGTTTTGTTGCTATTCGTAAAAAAAAAAAAAGAAGAGAAAGAAACAGCTGTAATCACCAGTCACAAGGACATCACACACTAAGGCTTGTCAATGTCATAATTGATCGTGGCTTGTGATACCTCGCATTATGAAAAGCGATGTGATCGGCTTTAACGCATCCTCTATAAGGCATCCTCTTTAACATGTTATGAGAAGGAGAGGTCATCGCAGGACGCACTGCTAAAGTTGTCTCGCCTTCTTCTGACCTGGCTGTCGTTTTGCATGGGCAGGGAAGGGGCGGCGGAGGGACAAGTAAAAATAGAATTGAATGCTTCTGCAAGGTGTGTTAGTGTGTTTAGAGAGTTTCATATGCTTTATTGGGCCCATGCATATACTGCACACATAACATTTGATATGGTTGTATCAATACCGTGTATTGCAGACTTTAAACTGGTGTAGCCAGTCTGGCGGTAGCTGTATACTGCCACTGTGTTAAGGGGTTATCGCTGACATCAGTAACCCAACTAGTAGCTGAGATAGTGTTTTTTGAATAGCGGTTCAGCCGGTTATATTCTGCGTGACAGACGGCCCCACAGTGACCTTCATGCCTATGTGAACAGTTCGCAACTGAAAATGACAGCATGCTGTAATTAGGCCTACTATTTGATTGTAATTTTCTTGTTCACTGGTGTTCACCCCTCCTTTCATCCTGAAATCGTTGAGCTAGTTCCTCCAAGTGTGGTAGTCTGCAATAGAACGAGCCTTGGAACCTCTTTTGAATTAAATATAGGCCCTCATGACCTACACGTATGCCCTACTTCATGACTGTAGTCTTGATTGTGTACCAGAGAGAACTGGCGTAAACGAACTTTGACCTTGCATGACATCATATTTTGACTAATCAGCACTGCCACAAACAAAACTTTATTTCTCACATCACGTCTGATATTATTGCTTTATAAAACATCTATAACTTATTACACAGGAGCTGGGGGTGGGTGGGGGGGGGGCGACCAAGCTGTAGGGAGAGGAGGCTGGTTGTTGTCATCTGTGAAACTTGTATTGGTTTTTGAGCGTTGACAGGGCCTGCCGGTCACGCGGACTACGAAACACATCGATATTTGTACAGTAATGAGTCAGCTGATTAATTGCTATCCTTGTCTGGGGAGAAATGTGGAGGGATGGGGTCGGTATTGTTATTACAATGAGTGCTTGTTCCTGTTACCTGTTGGTATGCGGCCCACAGAGTCGTGTGACCTTGGTTACCTATTTTGTACAGGAACAACGTACAAAGAGATAATTGTTAAATTGCCTTTTAAAGTTACACAATGGTTGTGGCAAGAGAAAAGAACACATATTAAGAGCAAGTCACTGATATAGTTATGTATAATATGAGTTACCATTAATACTATCAACCATGACTTACTTTTAAGAGCTACATAGTAAAACAGCAGGTATATAGATGGCTTCAGACTGAATAATAACATACATAGTCTTTGTAGAGATTTGTGAAATTAATGATAGCAAAAATTATCAAGAAAATTGTTTCTTGACAATTGAAATGGCTGCCACTCAGGTCGTGTGTTATAAATATAAACCCTTTCATGCTATGACCGTATACTTTTCAATGACTGTTATTTATTAAAGTTCTTAATGTAATTAATAGCAAAAGGTTGAAGAATTAAATTATAAGGGTGGGAAATTAGGGACAAATTGAACAAATCTTTGTTGTTTTTCATTTCAAGCATGACTTAAACACACACAGCATAAGAAAACTCTATTATTTTTTGTGAGATAAGAGTGACATTTATTGAGTATATTATATTAATACTGAATCCAATCTTTTTATTTCAGATCGTGAGGATCAGTCCATTCTCTGCACGTACGTCTAAATGATTTTTTTAAATGCAATATCTTTATATCCTTAATTTACCAACCGTAGATTGTTTCTTGTATCTCGGCTCTGCACTGTAATTCAATGAGTTAATCAGTTCTCCGCCTTGTGGTGTCTGCACTTTGTGTATAACCAGGAGTGTCATGGCTAGCGTACTTGGAGTCTTTTGGTAGTCATACTTGAGGTACCTTGTGTGGTCTTGTTTTGGAAACATGCTCTGATGGTGCCTGCTGCAGTGACAGCACCTGTCTGCTATAATTGAGGCACCCTGGGGCCTGTCTATTGCAGGGGCATTGCTTACACACCCCTCATCATGGCATGGATGCCCTGTTATTTCAAACATATCCTGGCACTGAGCTGCATTTCTTCTGTGGCTGCCATGATAACTGTGAGGGTAAAAGCACATTGTATGTGCCCTCATACTTCAAACTTGTCTAATAATATGAAACTGGCTTCATATTTATATTGAAACATCAAAAGAAAACAAAGTTTTTGCTAAGTAAGGAGACACTTCATAAAACAGTGGTTATCAACCTATGGTCCTCGAATGTCTCATTGACTCAGTACTTGGGTATGTTTCTGATAATTTACTTTGGTTTCATTAAAATTTATTTTTTAAATCTTATTTTTTTTTTCACAGTTCTTTGACATTACAAATGTTGGTGCTATTTTCAGTTTTTAAATTTAAAAAAATTTTAAAGATCACAAATGAAAGCTTTTGTTTTTTGTGCCTTTTTATTAAAATTGTATTTTATTATTTTTTTAAATATTTTAAATTATTTAAAAAACAGTTTAAAAACATTTAGTAACACTAGGTTATAAAACTGAACCATTTTCATTTGCTTGTACTAAATAGACACAGTCAATATGACATGCTGAATCCTTACATCAACATTAAGAAATATTAAAAATACACTCATATTTATTGTAGGGCATGGTATTTCTTTAAGTGCAACTCCATACTTCACTAGATCTACCAGAACAACATATTGATCTACCCCAAATTACAAGTCCACATTTGCAATTTGTATATAAACCATTGAATTATTGGCTCTACATTTGAATTTAAAGGAAATAGTTTGTAAATATTCATTGTGTTTTAATTATTGCCTGGGAGAGGCTAAAATTTACTTTTCTTTACCAATTCGGAACCATTAAAATGTTATTATCAGTTAGTAGTGTCTATATATATATATGAACATTAAAACAGTTGTTTTGTCAAATTATTGGGTTCCCTCGCAAATATTTATAAATGCAAATAATAGATGTCAAGTTACTTATTGAAATTCGTATTTATCCCAAAGATACATTTCTTAATATATTTTGATTTTGCATTTGGACAGCAAGGTATAAATCTTGTTATCTGACCAATTCTACCATAAATCTTGCAATATATCTGAAGATTTGATGTTTTATAAAAAAACAAAAAAACTTATTCCGTTTGTCCAAGCTCTGCATTTTGTTTTCATGCTGTTACATGTTTGGTCATTACTAGATTGTTATACTTTTTTTAATGAGCAAAAAGTGTTTCATCACATAACTTGACAAGCATTCACTATCAGAATTACATTACATTGATTTGTTTAACCTATGATGTATTTAGGATTATTAAATTGTCTCTTAGGGTCGTGACATGGTATTTAAATGAAATAAGTGAGCAGAGGTCATATATTACTTTGCTACGTGTGACATTTTTCTTTCATGAGTAATATGCTGCAGTCCTAATATGGTCCTAATATGGCAAAGGCTTCGTAGCAAAGAGTGGTCTAGTGTGCATGTTATTTACTTAAATTAGACATTTATATGCAGGTGACTCATTTACTTGCAACAGGTGTGCAATGCAACATCAAAGTAATTTTAGCATAGTTATAGTTTGTTATTTAGAAGGGACGAGTTATTTAAACAATATGGAGTTATTGCTTTCGAAATCTGTAACACTTTTATTTTAGCGTTATAGTAGCTTAAAACCAATGCCAGGAAGCCCTTGTATTGTTTAAAATACATGGCCGAATGTTATTTCAACACTAATAGCTTGATAAAAGAGAAATAGAAAATGCTCATTATATTTCTAGATCTTTATTATGATCAATGTGTTTAAGTCATAGGCTGTGGTTACCTGGAACCTTTAGGAAAAAGCATTTATTAAATAAGGTTGTAAGAAGATTATTACAATAGGAATGAGATTTAAAGTAATTTTTTACATACTTCTAATAGCATGCGTTTAAAATTAGCAAATAACAAACTGAAACTGTCTTCCTCTCACTCAGCTTAAGGTTTTGGTTAGAGGGGCAGTGGTTCTCAATGTGACCTACTGGTGATGCACTTTGCAGCAGGGATCCAGTGGCTAATTTATCTGTTTTTCTACTTATATCTTAAATTATTTTTGACATTTTTGATGTGTTGTGACTAGAGGCTCGCGGAGCACCACTTTAAGGAGGCAATTTACCCTTTAGGCTAAACTTATGCTATTAAACCAGCATACAAGGAAAATTCCGCTGCTTTTAAATACTTCCTATCTTGGTTTATTTTCCAAAAGTCATATTTACGTATATTTCAAATATATCCTTATACAAGAAATGTTTGAAAATTTGAAACAGTGGTTAACATGAAACTATGTCAATATTCTTGTTCAAAATTTTTTACAAAATAATAAATTTGGCATGCTAATTTGGTATTTTGGAAGTACTGCATCATAGAATATTATTTAAACAGATTGAGTTCAGAATTTAAATAGATGGGAAACATAAATTATATGGGAATTGATTCTAGTTATTTAGAAGCATTTAGTAAAAACTAAGTCTTATTAATTTTAGCCTATTAGTATCATGACTGGGTTGGTAAAGATTATTGTTGTTTGATTTGTTTTGCTATAAGACTATTTTCCCCTCAGTGGTGAATCTGGTGCTGGTAAAACAGAAAACACAAAAAAAGTCATCCAGTACTTGGCTTTTGTGGCTGCCTCCAATAGGACCAACCGTCAGTCTGTTAGCTCAGCCCACCTTCAGGTATGGGGAGAAAACTTCTATTACATTAATTATTTTAAGGGTTAATAGAAGAAAACTAACAAATCCAACATACATTTATTTCTTTTACTCTTGTCCAGTCATACACTGGTGATGCATATCCTAAATATGTTAATTAGTAGAAATGTTGAAAAATTCGGCTAGGTTAAAATCCAAAAGGGAGCTCAAAATTTGTCTAGAATCAGGCAATAGAAAGCCAAACACAATGTAAAATACATCCCCCTGAACTTAGTGAAATTTATGCATTTAAAAAAAAAGTTTTCAAATGTGACGTAAAATAGCTAAATTTCCAATTTTATTTAAATATATACAAAATAATTATTTAGATTGTTAATTTAAATATTCTGCATGCCAGCTGTTGTATGGATTTGAACAATCTCATCCTAATCTACAATGTTATTCTATTGATGACTCAGCAGTATGCAGTATATTTATGTTCTTTATGACAGAAATGAACTTAAAGCTCCAGTGCTATCCATATTACTAATGGGAACATGAGCTGTTGTTTGCCTGTCTAAAAATATCTCTCAATCAACTATTAGCATGTCTTGAACATGAATGCATGATTTCATAGATGAACTCCTGATGATCTAATTTTGAGAAAGAATAGGTTTCATACAACTGCATAGTTGTTAAGTAACCGTAGTTCAAGTGCAACTGATTTGGCTTTATGATACATTAAGTGAAAAACCTTAATACATGTACATATTTATTTCTCTCAACTTAAAACAACCAGTTTTGCCGTATTTTTTTTCTTCTTACATTTATTTCTAACATTTCTTATTTTTGGTTCAATGGCTTTTTAAAAATAGTTTTAACCCATGCATTTAGAGAAAATTTAGTGCTTTGTAGATCATGTAATTTTTTTATACAGTTTTTCATACATATATTACAAAATATAATGGCCATTCTACATTTCTTTCATGAAACTCACCTGTCAGGAAGGAGGGAAACTTGTTGTTGATGCCAGTTTGAAACAGGTACCCACCCACCTTTGTCCCCTATTACACAGCCCCAGCATCTTTGTCCCCCATCAACTGTTCACCATTCCTCTTCTTGTACACATCGGGGCAAACTTATAGATCTAAACATTTTTGTGAACCCACTCCTTACTCACTGCTCGGAACTCTGTCTCAATTTTTTTATAATTTGAAAACCTGTATCAATTTTGGTTGATTTTACCACCTGTCAGATTTGTTTACTGGAGTAGCTGTATACATTTCTTCTGTGTTGTTTATACGAAGAGGCCAATAATTTAGATCAGAATACTGAGCATAATCAGTGTCTTAAATGAACTTTTTAAAAATGTTGACATTATTTTAGTCCATTTCCACTCTAGTTTTAATGAAGTACGTTCTCATCTAGATAAAGTAGTTAGATTTCAGGATAAAGTGGGGAAATTTCCAGATAGCGTCATGAGGTTTCCAGATAGGGTCTTAAGCTCTGCACAGAAGTTTGAAACGTGAATTGTTTTACATTTTATATGTATGCAACAGAACTTTCTGCTGAGATGGACAATGCTGCTAATTTTCTCCTTTCTTATCCCATGGATAAGATGATAAAGACAACTGGAAAGAAACCAAATTGAATTAATAGGAATCCTACCAGAAAGTTTTAAGATTGATGACATGCTCAATGAATGCACAATCACAATCCAAAGACAACACAAACATTTTCCAGCTGGGATTGAACTTAAATTGCAGTAAAATCTAAAGGATAACAAGAGAGGTAGCTTGTGAAGATCTTTTACTTCAGATGTTTTCCCTTGCATCGCAAACTTGCGAAACATTTTTGAACCTCGGCGTCACACAGAAAACTCCTGACCTATATAATTGAAAGTTAAAATTATATCTTCAGATTTAGAGGAGCTGCTGAAATTTATATCTCCGTTAAGGATTTTAAACAGGGTACAACAATACAGACATTTTATATCTATTTTTAAAAATTCAACCATTCTCAATAAGTAAAATCAAATTAAAAAAAAAGATTAAGTTGAATAATTGAACCAATCAATGCAAACTAAAAAAAAAAATATGAAGGGTATCACTCTAACTAAAATGATTACAAGAAAGTGGTCATGTGCACCATTAATGTGATATACCGGCATTAGAAAGCAGAAGACTTTGATTACTCAACGATTTCTATACTTTACTCTTAAGTGGATTTGTGCCTTAATGTAGGCTTTTATGGGTTAATTTAGGCTTATGTACTTCATTTGATCTCCTGAGGTCAACATTATAGATTAGATAAAACTAATGAATGTCTGAGAGCTAAATAGCTGGTTCATGAAGTCATCACTAAGATTACCATTTTCTAGTAGCTTAGCATATTTTTAGAATATTTTTTTAAAAGATTTTTTTTAATAGGAAATCTCATTGCCTGCTACATATTTTGAATATAACCTGTAAATGAAGGGCATAGTCTGCAATCAAATATGTCTGGCTAGTTCCTTGATGTGCTTCCTCATTCCATTCTTAACCATACTTGATTTGTCTATAAGGTCATACTTTTGCCTCTTAAATTAGTGTGTAATAAGCAGTGCTGTCCAACTTCTAGTTAGCTATGGTCCTTATTTTTTATTCTTTTAAAAAGCTCCATTTGTCTGCAGCAATTTTAACTGTTTAGGTAAATGACAAATTTTACTGAAGAGCTGATAAGTCTTAATAAGTAATATAATATAGGGACAGATAGTAAGTTTTACACCATTTAATTACATTTTTTAAAACTGACAGTTTGAACAGCCCTTTGATAGAGTGATGCTAATTCTATCTAAATTTTCCTGTTATATGTATATATATATATATATGTGTGTGTGTGTGTGCATGTTGTGAAACCTTATTTAAATATACTAGAGAATATATTTTTGCTTTTGATTTTTTGTGGCTTATTTGTCTCTCTTTAACTACTTTGGGTTGGTCTAAAAAATCACTACTTTGGGCTGGTCTTGAAATTACATTTAAAACTGTTCTCTTTGACAACTAATGTAAGATTTGTAGGCTTTATACAAAATAATTTGGGGGCTTTATTTTGTATATTTTCCAATTTCATTCTTTGGCTTCTTTAATTATACTTATTTGGCTTCTTTTAGTATTGTAGAAAATTAGTCATGCTGCATGTGTACATGTGTTAAACAAAATATTTAACCAGCTATGGTGCCTGAGATAAAAAGTTAAAATTGATTAACAAAATCTTGTTGACATTAGCTGGAATTTCAAGGCATCTATGCAAGCTAGATTATGGCATTTAAACAATTTTAGCTATGTTTGCTAGTTTTATAGAATTTAAATAGTTTTAATGAAAAACAATGACACTGAGACAGCTAAATCTTGCTCTACAATAAATCAACGTTGAAATGTAGAAGCATGTATGCCACTGAAATTGTTCTTTCTTCTCTCCCTTGTTTTGTGTGTGGATCCTACCCATCTTCCTAGAACAAGGATTTCAATCTTGTAAGTACAGTCACCTGCCATTATATCACATTTAAAATTTCATCAAACCCATCTTCTCATAGAACAGTCATACTACCATTATATCAATCCTTATTCAGTTTTGCATTTTTGTCAGAAGGACATGCATTTAATATAGATAATTTAAATAATGGTTCTAATAAGAAGTTTAAGTAAATATTTTTGTCAAACTTGCCTTATAGCTGAATGTTGTATATGCGTAGATGTTGTACTAATTGTTTGATGTTGTTATCAACTGATTTATAAATATTTTTGACATATTATAAACTTTTCAGTTTTTATTTTGTTGAAACTAAGTTTTAGTACATCACTTTTAAAAAATTAACCCTAAATAATTTCAACAAAGTAAAGTGTTGTTTTTTTCCTGAGTGTGTAAATATATTTATGCACAAAAGTTGATGTCTGGAAATAAATTGCAATACCACAATTCTTTTTTCTAAAAGGCAGATGAAAAAATAATTTTGTCAAATTTATTTTTTGAGAAGGAAAATTTTTTTGCATGGAAAGTGTCAATATTTGCTCAGCAAATTTTCTCTTTTTCTATCATCTGTCACACTGAATCTTCCTTGATTTGTTTGTGATTATGACTAAGGAGAATGCATTTTGTTTGCAAATTTTATCCTAAAAGTTATTTCAGTTTGTTTTTATTACATACACATCATTTGGCCTTCTATTACATTCACATCCCTCTGCAGAATCACCTATCCCTGATATTATTATTAATAAATGACACATGTTCTGCTGCAGGGGGAGTTAGAGAACCAGCTCCTACAAGCCAACCCTATTTTGGAGGCTTTTGGCAATGCCAAGACTATCAAGAATGACAACTCTTCCAGATTTGTAAGTCATCAGCACATTTATTAAAAACGCAATCCAGAATACAAATTTAGATAAATTATTCTACTTAGAGTAAGGAAGTTACCTCTTGGTAATACAGATTTTGAACTGTAAAATCATTCATAATTAAAGTAAATAGAATTTAAACACAAATAAGACTACACATCTAACATATGCATTCGATTCATAAAATTGTAAATGATGTGCTTTTTTTAAGCATATGGATTTCATCATTGATTTCATAATTTCATGATATTCTTTTATCCAGGGTAAATTTATCCGCATCAATTTTGATTCATCAGGCTACATATCAGGAGCAAACATTGAAACATGTATCCTTTGTTGTAGTTTGGTTTTATTTTATAAATGGAAAACAAAATTCTCTAAAAATATTTTCATTAGAGCAAATTCATTTTTTAAAAGTTCATTGCCATGATTTTACAATTTTAAAAAAAAAGTGTTGAAAAGATTTTCTTTGAAATTGTAATATTTAATGGCTGGATCAAAGCCCTCAAGGTTATGAGAATCACTGTGTTAGTGTGAACGCTCTTTGGTCAATGAGTGGCGTCATGAGTTTGTAGTATTATGGCTAATTATGATTGGATGAAAGGACAAGCATAATAAACAAGTTTGTGAGAATATAAGGTTTGTGCTAGTGTTACAGTTGTGGCTTAATTACATTCCAATACTTCCGATTTATTAATAAGATGAACTGCTATAAAAGCACAAGATAAGTCAGTAGGTTTCATCAAAGTCCATAGGTTTCATCACCATTATAACTTGACATGAATTCACAATATAAAATAAGATATCCAATAGAATAAAAAAAATCGCCATGATCTCACCTAGTACATAATCCAAACAGATGAGCGATAGTTGTTCTGATTCAATAGGATGTAACTTAGAACAATTCTATATATGATACTAGTGCACGTCCATCTTGATGATTCAAATTTCTCTCTCACAGTCCGTTCCCCCCCTCTCTGTGAATGACATTCAAAACTTTATCTTAATACAGAAAATAACGAAACATGAATTACAAGGGTATTTCCCAAGACGTGTGTTGAGGGTGGTCAGTAGGAATAGTTCACATTGGGTTGACATTAGTGCCCCAGAAGTGTGATTAATCTCGTACATCAGGGTTGAAAATCCTTTTACTGATGTTACAGTTGGCCAGAAGCTCTCATCAGTGTGTGATGGGAGTGGACTGTGTTCCCATGTATGAAATGGTTTGGTGATACATCTATGAAAATTATCAAGATTGTATTTTATTAAGAAATTCTGTCGTTTGTGTTCACAAGTGTTGGCATGATTCTTGTGATGCAAGTGTTGTAACAATTTTATTTGACCCCAGACAATGATGCCAAAATAATAAGTAATAGTGAAAATAGATCAGTCAAGAGGTTCCAGAGAAATTGACATTTTGACAGGCTGCAATTTATAAATTACCCAATCCTTTGAAAGAGGGTTAATTTTATCAATTTCAAATAGGTTTTTAGTGTAAATTTTGTGAGACATGCAACCTTAACCAGAAAAAGATCTGCTTGAGAAGTCCAGATCTGTCCGTCAAGCTGAAAGTGAGAGATCTTTCCACATTTTCTACCAATTTTTACATGGAGCTAGTCCTCAACAAAGACGTAAGTAACATCTTTACCTTTGTTTAAAAATTATCTGCCTTGGTTTTTAGATACGATTAACCTCATATTTTTTATCGTGTAATTCTTTTTTTTATTATTAATTAGCTAATTGGTTTATTAATACTAATTCTTTAAGGGGAAAATAAAATTTGATTGACTAAATTTATTATTTTTTAAGATGAAAAAGAAGTGTTAAACCTTCCACACAAAAACAAGGTTTAAGTGTTTCATAATGGTCAACAAAAGAAACACAATTTCTTTAAAAAAAAAAAAATCTTAAGATTAAATATTTTGTAAAGTTAATAAAGGATTATCTCTGTTAAAAACTGGATTTTCTTCATTTACATTTTTTGCGGCAAGATAAATAAACTGTTCCATTTCTTCAACATTTTAAATTAAATTTTAACAATGGTGTGCTTTTATATCAAAGCTAATATTTTTTTGCATAATGTAGATATTTTCATATCCAATAAACTGAGTCTAAAAAATTAGTCATACTAGCTTCATCAGGCTATAGACAGCAGAAAATTACAATTTATTTATAAATAGGTAGTTAAACTTTTGCAGTACTTTTTTTTCTTCTCACCCCCAACAATTGAGCCAAAATGAGAGTGAAATAGGGCCACACTTAGAGTGAATGGTGTTTCAACATTTCATACAGATTGATTAGATCAAGCATTGATGACAATTTATTTTTTCCAGAGGAATTTTTACTGGAGGATTGGGGCAAGTACTCTTACATGACCTTTGGAAAAATCCTTGTGCCAGGAGTGGATGATGCTGCAGAGTTCAAGAACTTGATTGATTCAATGGGCATCATGGGCATCTCGCCAGACAACCAGGCTGGTAAGTCACTGATTCCATCTCATGTAAGGTAAATCAGTATTTCCTTGTGGAAATAATTCATTATTAAGTTTATAATGAATTTAACATGTTAGATCTTAGCTGTTCATTCTATCTTATCTTTGTGTCTACAGCTGTTTTCCGCACTGTTTCCGCTGTTCTTCTTTTGGGCAATATGCAGTTCAAGCAAGACAGGAATTCTGATCAAGCAACATTGCCAGACAACACAGGTAAATATTCAAATGTTTTCTCATTCTAGCTTGTTTTAGTTCTTGAAAGAAGTCTTGGCCTGGCAATTTCTCAAGGACCTAAGAAAAGGATGGGGAAAAAATCAAAATGATAAAAAACAAATTTGAGCCCAAGATTTTAAAATAAATAAAATTTTCTCAAAAAATCTCAATAATTTTTATTCTGAAACTTAACTAATTCTTATGGTGACATCATGATAGTGAATGATCATCAGAAAGGTAGGCATAGCAAAAATGTAAAATATTTTTACTGTTCTGTTCTTCTCTGGTGGGATGGAGTTGCTCGAATTCAGTTTTAAGTACAGGACACCATAAAAACCTGGTTTATCTCTTGGTACAAGTTACATTACTGCTCTTGCTTTAGACGTTTGGTCTTGTTTTCCCCGCAAATCTGGCTTTATCATTTCTTATTGTTTAACATGTCTAGAAATTATCTCAAGTTTATACCCTTATTCCTTTGTGTTCCCATAGTTGCCCAGAAAGCGTGTCACTTGTTAGGTGTCCCTGTGACAGCACTCACACAAGCATTCCTTAAGCCCAAGATCAAGGTCGGCAGAGATTTTGTCACTAAAGCTCAGACTAAAGCACAGGTTTGTAAATATACTTTTAAACTGATTTTATGATGTTAATTCTTGTAATGAAATGTTCAAGTCCTGTATTTGCTATTACGCCTATTACTTTTAACTATTTCTCTCCAGAATTAATTTCTGCGTTCTTACCAATTATCTATTTTGCATATTTGTTAGGCACTACTATGCTATCTCTAAACCATCATAACTTTTTTTGTTTTTCATCAGAAAATGTTAAGTTTGGTATGGAATTAATGGGGAATGGTATGCCCTTTACAAACAAACCAGACTTGGGTTTAAATTTTAATATATAAATGTGATTATCATTTAAGGATAAACATTTTAAATTAAAAAACTCACCAACTGTTCACAGAACGCTCATTCCAAGCCACACAAAGAGAAATATATAATCCGAAGTATAACAAAAATGTTTTTTTTCTGAACTATATTCATATGTGCATCAAAAAATAATAAAGATCAACTTAAAAAAAATTTTTTTTTAAATTAACACCTGAGCACATTATCCATTGTCACCGCCACACAAAAAAATTCAGAAAAAAATTTAACTATTTTCACTGGAAACAATCTATTGATAAATATTTGCACTGTATCCTCGTAAGTATTAACATTTATTATGATGAGATGGAAAATTTACCATAAATTTGTCATATCTTTTCATCTGGGTTTAGCTCTGGTAAGCCTAAAAAAAAATCCATATGGATGTGCACTTTAGCTGGGGGCGGGGCTGGTTGTTCATCCGCTGATAAATTACGAATTTCATTATTTTTTTCACTAGTGCTACTAAGACTAGTGATTATAATTATACGATTCATAGAATCAGCCTCTGCATCTGAAATCATAAAATTGCTGTCTGAATCATCATAGAGTAATATTTTCAACCTTTATTAAATTGATCACCAGATGGGTCAGGTAAAGATTTCATGTCTGTAAACAAAAATAAAATGGACAATCAAAACAACCGCTGCAATCACTTCCTTCTATGTAAAAACTCGTTCAAATAAAGAAAAACCGCATGTTTATCCAAGGGAAATCATTCTAGATTTGATTTAAGAAAATTAAAAGCCAATAGCTAAGGAAAGAACCGAAATAAACAGGTTTTTATACATCGACAATCCCATCGTCGATAAGCCAAAATCTTCATTTCAAATCGACGATAAGAGCCTTTTTACGGAGAGAAAGAGTTAAAAACTTTTAAATAAATAATACATTTTTTACATGCAATATCTTTAAAACGTTACAATACTCATTTATAACATAAATACTTTCCAATGCTGATAAATATAATGCCACCATTAAAAAAATATTGTTTAATTAAAGGTACGGTAGCAAAGGGGGGATACCACATTCCTTACTTTCTGCCCTACTCTATCACTCCCCTTTTATTATTAGTGCTTTCAATACTGGATAAATTCAAGTTTGATAGTTCATGAATTGCTTCGCACCTGCAGGTTGAGTTTGCTGTAGAGGCTATTTCCAAAGCTCTGTATGAACGTTTGTTCAAATGGATTGTGACACGCATCAACAAATCTCTGGACCGTACAAAAAGACAAGGAGCCAGTTTCATCGGAATTCTCGATATTGCCGGCTTTGAGATCTTTAAGGTATGTCCTTAGGAAGGATAGAAGTATTTCAATGTTACTATTTCTTTGCCTTATTTATTTTGAAAATGAAGACCTTAGTACATAAGTCACAAAATGCCCATTTTAAGATATCCAGTTCAAACATTCTTTTTGTTTATAAAATTTGAACATTCTTAATTTTTGGCTTTTTTAAATAAAGGTTTTGGGTACATTTTAATGTGTTCAAATTTATGCAGGTTTCAGTTTAGATTGATTTTGACATAAATAAATGTGGAAATTTGTGGCTTAAGTACTAACTTGGGTCCTCAAATTATGATTATTGAATAGCTTTAGAACCCTCTTTGAAAATTCTACAAAATTCTCCATTATTTTTCTCCAATGTTTGATAAGCTCAAGAAAATTATTTTTGTTTGATAAGAGATAAAGCTAATTACTAGTATTTTAAACTTGTCCTCTCCCACCCCAGACAAAGGATAAGGTAACTTTGATGTCAACCATGTTTTTTGGAGTTGGAATGCCATGTCCTTTTAACTCAACTGACATTACAGTGTGTTTATCACTTTGTAGTGAGCATGCTTAATGCACAATGTTGTGGCGCCACTACTGACCCTGGTTAAGTCATCCTACCATTCCTAGTCTAGTTGTCAGTGACATCAATGCGTAAAGCATGAGACCATCTCAAATGACTTAATTGTCATCGTGTGTTGTAATGTTAAGTAAAAGTCAGCAGTTTTAGGAAATAGATAAGTGCTGATTTTAATTTTTAAAAATTATGTTTTATTAAATAAGTGTGAAATCATGTTTTAAAAATAGCAAAGCTATTGATTCCTGTATTAATTAGCTGCAAAGTTGTCTCCCATTATGTGACAAAACTAGTCCGACTAATTTTTGTCTCATATCCAAACATCCTTATATATCATCATAATAATTGTATATTGCACCAACTCTTTGTGAAGTCCGCCATTTCTCACCATCTTCCCTTTGGTCACAAATGCGTACATTCCACATCAAAAAACTTTTCGTTATCTTATAATCTTTAGCCTAGGGATGGTTCCAAAAGATGGAAGGCGGTGAGGAAATGTAATTGAGAAATTTTGTATTGTTTGGTTTCTTTTAGATGCCATTAAGATATTAGTTTTGAAATGATTCCATTTTGTTTTTTCTTTGAAAGGCAAACATTCCGTTAGTCTTAAGTATTTTGTTACTCACCAAGCTAGTCTTGAAAATTTTTACTTAACAAGATAGTCTTGAAAGTTGATACTTAACAAGATGGTCTTGAAAGCTCCATGTGAGAATGTGCTTTCAAATGTTCTATTGAATCTGTTGTTGCATGTTTTTTTTTTATTCTGGTTATTGTCGTTGATTTAACTTCTCATCATATAGGCCATTCCTAAACCGTTTACCAAAGTTAAATTATGTTAGTTGATTCATTGCTGAATAAAGGGTTTAACAATTAAATAATAGAAAAATACATTTTGACTAAATCGAGAGAAATGTCAAGCATCAAAGTGACAAAAAGAAAAGGTACATTTTAATGATATTTTGTAAATAAATTTGTGTACAAAAGACTTCTTTTTTGCAAACCAAAAAGGGCCTAGGTCAGTGGTGGCCAACCAGCAGACTCCCAACAGCCCACTACATCAAATATAAATTCAGTCGGATGAATGATTTATCACCAAAAAACACAACTAATTTGACAGAAAAATTGATTTTAAAAAGATAAATGAAAGGAAAGATTAAATTATATCACATTCGTTTCGTTTTATTCAGTTTGTTATTTAGCATTTCATTATGCGCATTATTGCAAAAAACACTACTGGTCATCAACTGCCAACCTAGCCTATTTCGCATTGGTCTTGACCAAGTCTTGCAATGGGACAAAATAAAAGACGAGAGAGCGAAGCTGACAAAAGGGCCACTCTCCTGGACTTAAACTTAAAACAAAATACAGTGCAAGTCAAGGCTACTGCTTAACTCGAATACAGCCTTGGTCATCTTCTCATGCAAAGGACGAACATTATATGCATTAAGAATAGATAAACATTATTAAACGGCATTTAGTGGATTTAAAGAAAAAAAATTATTTAATATGAGGTATGCCACCCACCAGCAGTCTGTTATGAAAGTAGCCTTTGAGTTGGCCACCCCTGTTCTAGATTTTTTAAAAACTATTAACTGCCCCCAACAATTGAAAAGTTCTTTAGTAATATTTTTGTACATCAAGTACCAATTGGATTTTCTTTTTGTCTAAATTTTGTTTTTTATCCACATTTTATAATTTTAAGATGGAAGTTAAAGTAGGAAATATTTTAAAAATTTCTCTTCATAATCAATTAGATTATAAATAATTTAATGAAATGTCCAACCTTATATGTCCGTAGGTGGAAATTTACCAAAGCCTATCTATACAACTTAACTTTAAAAAAAAATAATCTGTCAAAAAAATCTGCATTCCACTAAAAATCATAGATTCTCTGTGTGAGACTTCATGTTAAAAATAGAAACAATAATCTAATGATACTTCATCAAATAGAATATCCATCAAATAGAATGGCAAGTTCAAATAAAAAATATCAAATATTTGTTGCTTTTGAACTATGAGGACTGTAAAGAGTTGACATCAATTCATTTTAAAAATTGAATTTCTACTAAAATAAGAAATTTAGTGTATTAAAGGGAAAATAGTGAAAGCCAAGTTTGAATGTATGAGTTACAAAATGATCAAGTTCTTCTATTTTTTTGTTATAGATTTAAAAGAAGATCTTTGTTTATTGGTATTCTTGAAGCTTGAATGAGTAATATATTGGGAAGTGGAGTATGTGAATGCATTGTTTATTAAAAGCAGTGATTCAAAAATAAAGTGTGTACATGTCTAGAAATGTCTGTGGTAACGTGAGCAATCAGCATATACAAATAAAGCCTTTGTTTCTTGTCTGGTTAAATCGGCTGTTTAATCACTCTTCAAATTTTTGACATAATAGCTGAATTGCAAAATCTCTTTTGGATTACTGAATAGTGTTATTACTATAGGGTGCCTAAAGTATTTTACATGCTTTTTTTTTTCACTCCTAAGGGATATTTTATTTTTATTTAAAATCCATACACTTTGTGACTAGTTTGGTTGAGAGGTATAATAAAAAAAAAACTGTTTGATTAAACCATAATAAAAAGTTCTCAATAGTGCCATTTATTTTGATCAGATTTTACAAGAAGCATGCCATATATGCCAATTTTGTCTTGTTTCAGATGAACTCATTTGAACAACTTTGCATCAACTACACTAATGAGAAACTTCAGCAACTGTTCAATCACACCATGTTCATCCTTGAACAAGAGGAGTATCAGAGGGAAGGCATTGAATGGAAGTTCATTGACTTTGGACTTGACTTGCAACCTACAATAGACCTGTTAGAGAAGGTTGGTTTTATCTAGAGAAGGTTGGTTTTATCTGACACTAAGTCTGTTATCTATATTATCCAATATTATGAAACATAATATCCTTCCCTGTTAACAAGTCTACAATATTCAATTATCTTTTTACTAGCCAGAAGGTAAGCTTACCTCACTTTATGGCCTCATTACTGAAGAGGCAGATTGTACAGGCTCACCAGCCCTTCTTTTCATAGTCTCCACCCCTCCCCCCTAAAATCCCCATCCCCCATCTCCTTAGGAGGGATCCAATTAATGTCTTTAAATTTTTTTAGTATCCAGATCCCCAAAATAGTAATAAGCATTGTAAAATAAAGTCAGATTGTTTAAGAGCCCAAGAAGAAGTATTACAAGAGAATGACATAACACCAGAGGGATATGAGCAAGATGAGAAATGTTCAAAATGCATGTCTAAAAGTGATGCTCACTAGGTATAATAAATATAATTTTTATTGTTCTAGATGAAATATATTTCATCAGACTTATTTTAAGTTTGTCTTTTTGCCAACAGCCTATGGGAATCCTTGCTCTTTTAGATGAAGAGTGTGTATTTCCTAAGGCCACTGACAAGACTTTTGTGGAAAAGCTTCTCGCTCAGCACACCAGTCATCCCAAATTCCAGAAACCAGATTTCAGAGCAGATGCAGACTTCAGTCTCATTCACTATGCTGACAAAGTAAGTCCATGGCTCAGATTGAAATTGATTTAAATCAATTTAAACACTGTTAATTCTTCCACTTATTATTTAAAAGCCTCAAGTGTTTTATGATTATTAAAAAGTTATTAGTATAGTTAATTTTTAAATAAAATATAGTGTTTTAAAAGGGGTGGGAGTGGGGTTTGATGAACATGAACATAAAACTTATAAATTTAATTAAATTTTTTTTTTTTAAATTTAATTTAATTTTTAAAAAATTTTAAAAATTAAATTCTCTTTCAAAAAATATAAAATTATGAATGCCTAAATTTGGTCAGTAGGTTGAAAAAGGGAAAGGGTAACCCATTAGATTTGAAATACTGTTCATAAGTCATGGAAAATTCCGATCCCAATTTCTGTTGTTTTTTTTTTTTTGTCTAATATATTGGAGGGGAAGAAAATGTGTTTCAAGAAGGTAGGGTTAACAAATAAAATTATCTGTTGGCTATATTTTCTTATCGAGTATTGTTGTAACTTAGACTAAGGTTTAATATGTTCAATTAATTAAGACATGGTCCCATCCTTTGTTTTGTTTGCTTATTGTCCTCTTTAAAAAAAATTGTAATTTGGTGTGCAAAAAAATTGGTTTTTCCCATTTTTACTCTGAAATGAACTATAATTAAAGTTTCCAACAGGATGTGACATCAGTTAGTGGTTAGAAATGGGTTGGGGAGGGTACTGACATTAGATTTCCATTTGAACAGTTTCATGAAGACCGAATATCAACAAGTGTAAAATGTAATTAAAAAATGTAAGGGTGAACTTGCTGGGCAGGTTCAGGGTAATTGGGATTCATTATGGGCCCTGCCATGTCGCTGCCTCTAGTTTCTTTTGGGAAACGAAAGGAGCACATGAGCAACATGGGTATGGCTGCTCTGTGCTTCACCTGGTTACCTGTTATAGGTGTGCCAGACTCAGGAGAGGTATGTTCCCACTATTTGTAGCTCCCATTATTTTTTTAATAGTCTTTTTATACTAACATTTTATCATTATAGTGTTTAAAAGGCTTTATTTTAATTAAGTTTATTTCATAGCAAGGCTATTGGGGTTATTATCCAAACTGAAATATTCATAGCATTTTTTTTTAAATTGTGAATTGTTTAGTTTAAAAAATGCATTTTTGTGGGTTTAAACCAAGACAAAAATTTTTTTTCCTCAGGTTGATTATTCAGCGGACCAGTGGTTGATGAAGAACATGGACCCCCTCAATGAGAATGTAGTGTCTATTCTGTCAACATCCTCAGATCCTTTCTTTGTTAATATGTGGAAAGATGGTAATTAGTTCTTTCTATAACATTCAAGTATAAACAATACACTGGATGAATATTTCTGGGTATAATAGTCAGAAAATATTATTTTATCTTTAACTTTTCACATTCCTGTTAGATTAAAAATGCATTGAAATATAGACAAAACTCAGTAAAGAAATTCTTTTTTAAAAATTAATTTTCTAAAATAAATGTTTTATATAGGATACTAATACGATTTTCTGTTTTCAGCTGAAATTGTTGGTATGGGAGCAGCCCAAGCTGTGGACACAATGTTTGGATCTCGAGCTAGGAAGGGCATGTTCCGAACTGTTAGTCAGCTGTACAAGGAACAGTTAGCCAAGCTAATGGCCACGTTGAGAAACACAAACCCCAACTTTGTGCGCTGCATCATACCCAATCATGAAAAGAAGGTCAGTACCATTGTTAATGGATAATCTTTTAAGTGTATATAAAGGTTGATATATTATAATCTATATTAACTCATTCCCTGCGGCAGCGCGGCTTCCGGACTTAATTTATTTTCCTGAGAAAAGGGAAGCAACTCAGTTTTGAAATTGATTTATATTTTTAAAATATTTTTTTAAGTTGCTAAATATTATTTAATGTTAATGAATTAAGAACAAATTCAACAAAAAATGAATAAGGTTTAATATAAATATAACATTAGCGGGGAAAAAATAACGAACAATGGGCAAAAAAATAGATTTTCGGCACCTCGGACGAACACATGCTACATATAGACGCGCCGTACTAAAGCACACGTAGTTTTAAAGTGAAACCAGATAAAAACTTCCGGTTTCTAAATTAAAATCACGCAGAAATCACGCCATAGCCGGAAGTCTCGAGGGACGCGAGATTTCATTTCTATTTTAAACTAAAAATAAGAGAGGTGTGTCGCTATGCGACGGGACGCATTTGGATGCATCAGGAGAAACCCCCCCGAGGACGCATTTAGTCGCAACCGTCGGGAATGAGTTAAATAAGATTATCACATTGTTTTACAAATACAACCAAACCAAAAAAGCTGTATGCTAAAATGAGCTGTTGATTCCAGGCAGGCAAAATTGAATCCGCTCTGGTCTTAGATCAGCTGAGATGCAATGGTGTTCTTGAAGGAATCAGGATTTGCAGACAAGGCTTCCCCAACAGGATTCTGTTCCAAGAGTTTCGTCAGCGCTATGAGATACTGACGCCCGCTGCTATTCCACGAGGCTTTATGGATGGCAAAAAAGCTGTGGAAAAGATGGTAAGGACTCATTGCACCCACATTTTAAAAGTTTTAAAACTCTCTCTTGTATCTTTTCTACTCTTCATTTTTTTTTAAATTTTGAAAAATTATATTTTTCTAAATTCTTTTGATGGTCAACAGATCTCAGTTCTAGAACTGGATGCTAATCTTTATCGCATTGGGCAAAGTAAAATCTTTTTCCGCGCTGGCGTGCTAGCTCACCTGGAGGAGGAGAGGGACCTCAAATTGACAGATATCATTGTCCAGTTCCAGGCTCTTGCAAGAGGGCTGATGGCTAGAAGGTAAACCATTCTGCACCAGTAATTTTTGTTATTATTTAAGTGGAAATATTTTTCTGTATTAAATATTAACTATTTTATAGACTTTAATTTGTTTACAATAGTCAAATTTGATTAAATTTGTCACATCACCAGAAACTATCAGAAGAGATTGCAACAAATCAATGCCATCCGTGTCATCCAGAGAAACTGTGCTGCTTATCTCAAACTCAGGAACTGGCAGTGGTGGAGATTATTTACCAAAGTTAGTAGAGTCATAGCCCTTACAGATATTTAATGGCATGTTCTAGACATAATTTAAATAATGCACATCTTTATTTCTTTTTATGCTTTTATCCCAATGTTTTAAACCATATTTTTTATAAATAATTTTATGAAGAAAATATTAGACAGACTCAGTTTACTTTGCCTTGGCAACATCGTACATATGAAGATGATACCTGGAGTACTTATCTTCTTTTAAACTTTATCTTTGAACATGTCACTTTTTAAAATATATTTGTTACCATGCACCATTTAGTTTAAACTAATAAAAAGAACTGTCAAATTCATAAAAGACCTAACAATAAAATGTTCTATTTAGGTGAAGCCCTTGTTGTCTGTAGCAGGTCAGGAAGAAAAGATCCACGAGAAAGAAGAAGAGTTGAAAAAACTTAAAGACAACTATGAGAAACAGAAACAGGAAACAGAAGAAATGGAGAGGCGTTATGCACAGATCATAGAAGAGAAAAATATTTTGGCCGAACAGTTGCAGGCTGAGACCGAGCTGTGTGCTGAGGCTGAAGATGTAAGTACATAGTTTGCTTTTTTTTTTTTAATGCATCCACAATATAGTCAATTTAAAGTGATTTTGCTGTTTGTTTCTTGCAGATTTTGGAGCTTTTAGATTAACTTAAATACCGTACTCAAAGATAAATTAAGGATTTATAAAATTATTTTCAGGCTCGTCTCCACCTGAGCAAACGCAAAGAGGAGCTGGAAGAAATTTTACATGAGTTGGAGATGAGGATTGAGGAAGAAGAAGAACGCAACAATGTGATACTTGAGGAGAAAAAGCTTATGCAACAAAATATCAAAGACTTGGAAGAACAGTGAGTATCCAAGCTTAAGATCTTCTATTGATAGGTGAACCATCGGTGAACGCTCCTTCTGCTTCCATGGGCCCACGTTCTGGAACCAGCTCCCCTTCCATGTACGTCATAGTGAGACCTCGTCCCTTTTCAAAAAGTCCCTTAAAACTCATCTGTTTAGGTCCGCCTATGACCTGTGATGCATCCTCCTTGCCCTACCTAATTTTCTGTTTCGGTTTAATCCTGAAGTGTCAAAGTGTCCTCTTTTTATAGCCATTTTCATTGTTTCTATAGAATAGTAGTTACTATCCTAGTGTCTCATTTGTATTTACTTAGTTTACTTGTTTTAATAATTGTAAAGCGCTTAGAGCTTTATGATAAGCGCTATATAAAAATGCCTAAATAAATAAATAAATAAATAGGGTGAATAAATAGTTTCTATACTCTTTTTGTGATAAGTGTGATAGCTACTACTGTTACAATACACAATCTTTGCTCATATTGGGATGTGAAATAGTACTAAGTACTTATTATTGTTACTTAACTGTCAGTATTGTTATATGTAACAAAAGAGACCAAATAACTTTTCTTACAATTAAATAGGTGCTTAAAAATCCTCTCTTATTTTCATACAAATATTTAGTTCAGCTTTTTTTTTTGTTTTTTTTTTTGGTCATAATAGTATAAAGTAATATTATATCAGTCATGTGGGAAATATAAGTTATTTTATAAATAAAACTTGATAAACAAACTTTTGTTTGGACTGAAATTGGTTATTAACTATATCTAAGCCCTCTTCCCCTTACTTTAAAGTCATCAACTGCCCCATCACTAAAAGTCACAAACTCACCTTCCCCTACTTCATAACATCATAAGTGGACAGCTCCATATGCTAACACCAGACCTGTTTACCCCCAAACTCTTAAAATCGTACAGTATCATCACAAAATCATTAAATACATTATCTTAATAGTAAATAAACACACAGTGTATATAATGCATACACCTCAAAATCGTACATTGTACGCCAAAATCGTAAGAGTAAACAGGTCTGTAACACTGATTTCAATAACTTATGGTAACAATTTTTTGGACTGTAATACCATATTGTTTTCTCTAGGCTAGAGGAGGAAGAGCAGACACGACAGAAACTGCAGCTGGAGAAAGTGACAGCTGAAAGTAAGATGAAGAAACTGGAAGAGGAAGCAGCTCTTATTGATGATACCAACCAAAAATTATCTAAAGAAAAAAAACTCTTAGAGGAACGCCTTGCTGAAGCGCAGCTCAATTTGGCTGAAGAAGAGGAAAAGTCAAAACAATTAATCAAGCTAAAAAATAAATATGAAGCAATTATTGCTGACTTAGAGGAAAGATTGAGAAAAGAACAGCAGGTATGTTTTAGCACTTCATTCCAACAGTTATCAAAATCCCAGTCTGTTATTCTTTTTTCCTTCCTAAAATTATATTTTTTTAACGTTTCATTTTTACTGAAAAGCCACATGGGACCTTATCAATATCAATGAGTTCTTTATCCAGTTGAGATTTAAACAAAAATCATATGTCATTCCTTTTTCTCTCTTGAATTGATAGGCCAGACAAGAACTGGAGAAGATTCGGCGTAGATTAGAGACAGAGTTAACAGATTTGAGAGACCAACTCAATGAGAAGAGACAGCAAGTAGAAGACTTACAAGCACAGCTTGCCAAAAGAGAAGAGGAAGTCCAGGGAGCCTTACAAAAGTAAGAAACATCTGTTGTACCAACATTATAGTCAAGTCTGTTGTCATTGCAGTGTTTCAAGATTTTCAGACTAATCTTTTGGACATCACTTTGTGTATTCATTCTGTCTGCATATTTATTCTGTCTTTTAAAATATGTTAACTACACACATATGGTCTGTGGTAAAATTTACACTGACCTTTGTTATATTCATCAATCTATGCATTAATAAATGTACTACTCACATAGACTTATTAATTAACATGAGAAACACATAAAAATTACCATTAGAATTATGACAAGAACATATCTGACCTAGTATTTCTATTATTTAATAGGGCCGATGAAGAGCAAGGCTCCAAAACAACTCTACAAAAACAAATTAGAGAGCTGTCCAATCAGTTGCAAGAATTACAGGAAGATTTAGAGATTGAACGAGAATCAAGAACAAAGGCTGAGAAACAAAAGAAAGATCTTAATGAAGTAACTTGTTATATTTTAAGCTATTTAGTTGACTGATGTAATCATATAGCTTTATGGACACTGGATTCTTTTCTTTCATTTTTTTTTTTTTCTCTCTGGTAAAATAAGTTTTTAAAATAGTTTATTAAATAATTTGGTCACCTAGATTGACCATAGTAAAAAATGTCTGTTATTGGGTATAATGCCCCTTTTATTTATTTTGTGTGTGTAGGATCTGGTTTGAATGTAAATGGTTCAATATTCTTTGTTAAATAAGTTATTAGCATTTTCTTGGTTTATTATCTTTTCTAAATGAAATGTTGGATTTCTTTGTTGTTCAGGAGCTTGAAGCACTCAGGGGAGAGCTTGAAGATTCCTTGGATACAACTGCTGCTGTGCAGGAACTAAGAACCAAACGAGAGCAAGAGGTTCAAGAATTGAAGAGAATGGTTGAAGGGGCTCAAAAGTCACATGAAGATGGCCTTCAGGAGGTCAGACAGAAATATACACAACAAATAGAGCAAGTAAATGAGGAATTGGAGAATGCCAAGAAGGTAATGCAATTAAAACTCATTATAATTTGGTGAGTTTTGGGAATTCAATAATGAACTAGATGTAAACATAAAATTAAATTGTGAACTCTTGACAATAGACAATAGTGAACAACTGTTACCTTTTCCTAACTAAAAATGGAGAGTTGTAGCCAGAAAATATTTCAATATGAGGACCTTTGACATCAGCTGTTCATTTTATGCCAGATGGAAGTCATGATGACCATTCAAATTGTTAATTTGCTTTCATGGGTTTTTATTGTAAATGTCTGAACCAATAATCACTGTTACATGTTCAGTCAGACAGAAAATGCCAATATGGGGATTTAGAATGTCATGTATCTTTTTTAATTGTGGCATATATCATTTACAATCTATTTTTTTTTTTTAGATGAAGATAAATCTTGAAAAAGCCAAGGTTACCTTGGAGGCAGAGAACAAAGATCTGGAGAATGACTTGAAGAGTGTGCAGATGGCCAAACAGGAATCTGAACGTAAACGTAAACAAGCAGAGACCCAGCTGGCGGAGTTGAGCATCAAACTAGCAGAGTTTGAAAGAAATTCTACCGACTTTGGAGAGAAAGCAAAAAAATTGCAGGTAATTTATAACTGATTTTTTTAATTTTGATGATATTTGAACCACAATTGTCCCCTTTTAAAGTAAACCAAAGTCAAAGAAAAATATAATTTAGTTACTAATAAATGTTTAAGTAATGGTCTTGATTAATAGATTATTGATAACAATCCAAATACCTGAAGAAGAAAAAACACTTGCAAACTATTTAGTAAAATCCTGAATTAAAGAAGATACTCTAATAGGAAATAGTGTTATTATAAGTGGACATTTAGTCCATAAACAAAGCTTACAGATATTTCTCATAGCTGGCTTTGTGTCCAATAAATCAAAAGTAATTTGTGCAATTATTACTGTAATTTTTTTTAAATTTCAAAATATCAATGAAACTAGAAAGATTATTCCTATAATGAGTTTTACTGCTTATATAATTTATGTGTAACTTTGATTCCAGACTGAGTTGGAGCAGTCTGTACAGCAACTGCAGGTAGCTGAGACTAAAGCACTCCAAGGACAGCAAAAAATATCTTCTTATGAAGCCCAACTTGCTGATGTTCAGGTACGTCTTGTACTATTTTAGTGTGAACGGGACATAAAGGTTATAGTCATTAACCATGTAGTGTGCTGCAAACTTAATTTTTATTTCAAGAATTTTATCATTTCCCATCAACCTAACAATGCCACTGAAACATATTAACTTGTCAATTTCAGGAAACTCTACAAGAGGAAACCAAACAGAAACTGGCATACCAGTCCAAACTTCGGGCAGCTGAAGAAGAAAAGGCTAATCTTGAGGAGAGACTGGAGGAAGAGGAAGAAAACAAAAGAATATATGAAAAGCAAATACAAGAACTTAACCAAAAGGTGATTCAAGGGGTCATTTTATATAATTTAAGTTTTCTTTCTGACTAATTTTTAAAAATTGTCTCATCTGCATTTGGGGTCCTGCTTCTTTTTTTTAACCTGTTAATCTTCTCAATCAGATTATTGAAATAAAGAAGAAAGCAGAAGAAGACCTTGTAAACAATGAAGTTCTTGAAGAGTTTAAAAAGAAAGCGGCCCGTGAAAGTGAACAATTGAATAACAGCCTGGAGGAGTTGAGAGTACAAAATGATAAACTAGAAAAATCAAGGCGAAAACTTCAGGCAGAGGTTAGAAAAGTTTTCTATTATTGTCTATTTTCATTTATATTTTTTTTTAATTATCCTCGTTTTCGTTTAAAGAATAGTTAAGTTTTAACAGCATTTTATTGTTATTATTAGTTTTTCTCCATATTTTAATAAAAATATTCTATGTTTCATGTGAGAAAAGCATCTTCGCACCAGATTTATCATGGGACTTTGGTGATGTATCTTGTACAGATAATTAATGTTTGCATGTGTGCATTTGCCAGGTGGATGATATGTCAGTGGAGCTTGAGTCTCAGCGTGCCAATGTTTCCAATGCTGAGAAGAAACAGCGCAAATTTGATCAAATGCTTGCTGAAGAGAAAGCCTTAAGAGAAAGGTGAGGCAAATTTATTTTTTTCCCAAACAAAGACAAACTAATCTGATTTATTATCATTTTTTTTCTCTTCTTAACATTTGAGTGGACTAAAATAATGTCTTACCTCATCAGACTGGCTGCTGAATTTGATCAAGTGGAAAAAGAAAGCAGAGAAAAGGAGACGAAGATTTTGAACCTGCAGAGAACATTAGATGAACTTCAAGAGAGGGCAGAACAGCTTGAGAGAATAAGGCAGCAGCAGGCACGAGAGTTGGACGATCTCGTTTCATCCAAAGATGATGTTGGCAAGAATGTAAGCCCCATCATAATAAGGCCGGTCCAGGAATTAACCAGTTGGCCTACTTGGGGGGTTGGAGGGAAAGCTGCGTAGCAGCATTTGATAAATAATGGACAGCGTATGATGAATAATGGTCAGCATTTTATAAATAATGATTAGCCCCTAAGTAAGTTGTTATTCTTATATAAATGAAGGGCCTGGTAGAAAAGTACTTTTCCAGTTACACATTTAAAAGTTACATAATTTTTAAAAAAAATTTTAAGACCTGCATTATATTTCATCACATCCCTTGCATCCTTCCTGCAAATGTTGTTCACATGTAGGATTACCATACACACTGGTCAAGGCCAGGCCAGTTTGAAATTTTTTTCTTATTTCCATTTTAGTTAAGTAAAAATTAATTTGGCCGGCACTTGGTTGTATCCAATCCACACTTATTGTATCTAAGCTAAAGTTAATTAATTTCTATGTGTAAATGCTGCCAAGTTCAAAAGCAACATACTTTTATCTAGGAAAAAGTACACATGTAGATATGAGGGTGAGCCAAATGTTTGGTCTGCAAATTATGGGACAACACGCACACACTCACCCAAAACCACTTTTTTAAAATGAGAAGATATTGGTAATAATAAGCCAGCAGTTTGAAGCTATAATACCCATCTTCGGTCCCATGTTTCCACCATAGGTACCAGTTTCAACCCTTAAAATCAGGTTAAGCTTAGCTTGATCGGAAAAAAGTAGATTTTAATAAAAACAAATGTTAGGTATTTCCAATCAATACCATCAAGTACAAAACTCACTTCTCTCTCAACAGTCAACATGGATTTGGGTAATTTTTCCCACTTGGTTAAAGTTGGCAACCTTTATTTAGTGAGGAGCCATTTTTATAAATTATAAATGGAAACTGCAGGTTGCCAACCACTACACTAGGTTATGCATATACACATATAGTATATATGTACCAAAGGTTCTCTCCCCAAACCCCATTATATAAAAATAACTTTGTATATTCATTTTTTTTATAACACAATATTTATCTTTTAAAAAACTTTTTATCAACTGTTTTGTTATTGTAGGTTCATGATTTGGAGAAAGCTAAGAGGGCATTGGACGCTACAGTGGCTGAACAAAGACAACAGATCGAAGATTTAGAAGATGAGCTGCAGGCAGCCGAGGATGCCAAACTCCGCCTGGAGGTGAACATGCAGGCCCTGAAAGCTCAATATGATAGAGATGCTGCCGGCAGGGAGGACCAGGAGGAAGAGGCCAAGAAATCTTTGCTACGACAGGTGGACATTTTTTTTTTAAATTTTAAAAGCCATAATTTCAATAACCGCTCATTTAAATTGAATTATTTTTAAAAAAAATTATGATGTTAAGATAAAGTCTATGATCATTGTTGAAATATTGTAAAAAAAAAATTAAAACATTGTCTGACAGTTGCGTGAGATGGAGGCTGAGTTGGAAGATGAGCGTAAACAAAAGGCCATGGCGGTCCAGAGTCGCAACAAACTCCAAGGAACTTTGGCTGGTCTAGAGCAACAAGTGGAACTGGCCAACAAGGTCAAAGAAGATGCAGTCAAACAATACAAGAAGATAGCTGCACAACTGAAAGACTATCAGAGAGAAGTGGACGAAGCAAGACTTTCTAGAGATGAAGCTCTTGGGGCAGCCAAAGATAATGAGAAAAAGGTACCACTTAGAAACGATATAGAGATTTTTTATTTGGGTATTAACTAAGACCTGTCCTTGCTACTGACTTACTAGCTTTTCATGATTTAATCAATCTTGCCGAAATTTAAATGGCAACACAATATTAGATCATTATTTGTATGAGCAAGCAAGTGCTTCTCTGTTCCTACAACTCGCAAAATACTTGTCTAACAATGTCCGGACACTAAAATAGATTGTACCTTCTTCATATAATGAGTAGAAGCAGAAGAGCTCTTAAGTGTATTTAATAATTGGAAGTTTTTTCATGCCAGTCAGCTGTGTTATTTGAATTTAAACTAAAGTTAAACATGTTTTTTTTAATTGCCGGAATAGGTGAAAAATCTAGAGGCTGAATTGCTGAGGCTACAGGAAGAACTTGCGGCTGCTGAGAGAGCTCGTCGTAATGCTGAATCTGAGAGAGATGAACTGGCTGATGAGATTGGCAACAGTGCTAGTGGCAAGTAAGTAATCAAACTGAATTATCTTCCCTATGCTTGTATGTATATTTTAACCAAAAAATAAGAATTTTTGGTTCCAGTGTGACTAAAGGCAATTTAATCACTGTTGTGTGTTACAGGCAAGCTCTCTTGGATGACAAGCGTCGTCTAGAAGCTAGAATAACTGAGTTGGAAGATGAGCTGGAAGATGAGCACACAAATACTGAACTTTCTAATGACAAGGCTCGTAAAGCTCAACTTCAGGTAACTTTAAATCTGTTTGAAAGTTTATCAAATTTACTAAAAAGTTCAAGTTTGACCATCGTCACCTTTTATTTTTTTTTCTCAATATTTTTTTTTTTTTTTTTTTGTTGGCTTCCGTCCGTCACAATGTGACGTAGTTTTCCCATCGTTACCTTTTATTTTTTTTTCTCAATATTTTTTTTTTTTTTTTTGCTGGCATCCGTCCGTCACAATGTGACGATGGAGTGGGCTTCGTAGGACGAAATCCACATAGCCTGGGATTATTATACTTGGTTCCCAACAGCAAATCGCCTCTCTCCACGCCGCTGGGTAACCCAAGGGAACATCATTGGATGATACAGCTTGGCACCAGTGACGTCGCAGGAGTTGTCGGAATGTTTCATTGTATCAATGCTATCCGCCTTTCGGACTCCATCTCCGGGTTTGATTTCAGAGTTTCCTTCTCTTAGATGAGTTGCCGTCCAAGGTTAACGAGTCCCATCTACCCGGGGCGCTGGTGGTGTTTTTGCTCTAGCTGGAATTGAACTCCAGACCACCAACTTGAGATTTGCTCAGTTTAGACCACTCGGCCACCCAGCACCCGATATATTGTTGTGTTAAAACCTGTTAATTTGACTGTATTAAATATGTAACTACTTCCAATAATTATTTTCAGTTGGAACAACTTAATACTGACTTGGCCTCAGAGAGATCAGTTTCTCAGAAGTTAGAGAATCAACGGTCTGCCCTTGAGCGTCAGAACAAAGAAATGAGAGACAAACTACAAGAGCTGGAGGGACAGAATAGAGCTAGAACAAAAGCCACCATAGCAGCCCTTGAGAGTAAAGTTGCAAATTTAGAAGAGCAGCTTGACCAGGAGGCAAAGTAAGGCAATCACTTTTTAATAGATTTTTTTTTTTTCAGTTGACATAAATGTAGGTTGTACAATTTTATTGTGACCGTGTTGAGATGTGTGTATATATATATATATAATATAAGACTTAAAATGGTTTCAGTTTATGGAAATAGTAAGGAGTTTCTGATTTGAGTGATAGAATTGTTAAATGTAAATCCATCTCAGTTAGCATGTAGCTTTATATGTTGTGCCATAGTCTGATTCAACCTGATGACCTCTTTAACAGATCTTCAACAATGCATCTGAACAAAACTGTCTAATGGTGTCCTAAATATTACTGTAAGTAATATGACAAAAAGTATGTCTATGTGACCAAGAATGCAGTGTCTAATTTATTATTCACCAGAGAAAGAGCAGCTCTTGCCAGAACCAACCGCAAAATGGAGAAAAGGCTGAAAGAGTTGATGTTGCAAGTAGAGGATGAGAGACGTAGTGCAGATCAGTACAAAGACCAGGTTTGTTAGTAAATAACTAGTAAATAACGATCTACTTTCCTTAATGCTGCAAGGACAATATTTTGCAGTGATGTGAGATTCTAATTGTAAGCAAAAATACGATATAAAAACCAACAAATAACTAATCTAGCTATTAAATTATGTTGTTATTACACAGGTGGATAAAGTAAACAACAGAGTAAAGGCTCTGAAGAGGCAGTTGGATGAAGCTGAAGAGGAAGTGGCCAGATCCAGTGGTCAGAAACGTAAGCTACAGCGAGAACTTGATGAACAGATGGAGGCCAATGAGGCCATGACCCGGGAGATGTCCACTCTGAGGAAATACAGGTAAGGAGCCATCTTGTTTGCAAAGACATATTTTGAGTATTTTGTAATTATTGTCATGTGTCATTTCTAAACCTGGTTCTGAGAAGGATCAAAATCTGTCCTTACAGTTATTCTAGTTGAGTCTGACATTTTTTTGACATAACTTTACAGTCATTTAAACACACCATGTGTTTTATTTCTATAACCAATCCATGAAAGAACTCCATGAACCAGATATAAGATGATGAAAGGGCTCATTGTAATCCTACTAATTCCTCCTCCCAATGTTGTGGTGCATGTTAGAACTTACAGGCCCACTAACTAATCCAGCTTATTTTTGTATTTTCAGTGAAAGGTAACTAAATAATACGGTAAAATGCATTGCATACAAAATAGTGTCTAACTTATCTCATAGCAATGAAACTGAATGAATTTCTATAAGCAAATTTTGATATAAACTTTTGTGCCTGTATGTGTGAGACATTTGTTTGCGGTGGAATTTAAACTCAATTCTTGGACCTTTTATTGGTAGAATTTTGACTCAATGTCAGGGCCTGTTTATAAATTCCAGGTCCTGTTAGTATGCAGAATTTGAGCTCAGTTTTAGAGCCTGTACTGTCAGTATTAGAATTTAAGTAAATTGGAGGGCCACACTGGTAAAGACATCAAAAGAATACTAAAAACTGTCTACCACATAAATGGCAACTGGGGATAACAAGGAGAATTGAAGACAGAAATAACGTTACCCTTTTAAAATTAATTTGTAGCGGAATATTGACACATTGAACTACATGGAATCAGGTGTGGTCCAAGCTTGAAAGAGAAAAATGTTAAAACGAAAGTTGAGGGTTTGATAGTGTGACAGGTTTAAACTTAACTTTAGGGCTTGATTGAGTGAGACATGTTAAACTTAAGGGCCTGATTTGCATCCGTTTACGTACCTTTCAGTAGTAAACCAAAAGAAAAAGAATAAATGGCTGGTAAGATTCTCACCATCACAATGTCCAATGTGCTTGTGTATGCTTGAAATGACATGTTTTGCAAGTTTACATCAGTTAAAGACAGCCCCATTAGCTTGACAGTGGAACTTGTCTGACTAGGGCTAACGTAATAGAAAGAAGAAAAAAAAAATGTTCCTTGAAAGCTCAAGGATGTTTAAACAATATTTATGGTGTAATATCCTATGTTTTTGGTCATATTAAAATATTCATAATGGATCAGAAAGACTTTGGCTGATCATCTATTTAAACAAATAAACCCGTTGAATCTAATGAGGACATTCCATCTGTAACATTTGCATGTATCACTGACTTGTATTTAAGTGCAAGTTCCATTGGTGCATGATATGAGCTTGATCTCTCACTGACTAGTAAACAGTTTTAGGAGAACTATTAACTAGCTGATTGATACTGGCATTGCAAAAATCAGATCCTAAGTGAATTTCTTGTGAATGTCAGAGACCTACTTTCTGCGACCTACTTTCTGCAACTTTAGTCAGCTGATTTGCCTATTTCTATAAAAATTGCATAACGGAAGTTAAAAGAAAAGATGAACACAGTATTTAAAGAAATGAATTGGGTCATAGATTAAACGCTGCATTTTGTTCTTCTTGCATTAACTTGCACTATTTATTCCCTACTGTTCATATCTATATGTTGCTATTTTTGCAACCCTAATCATCCATCTTAACTATGCCTAGTCCTCTTCCCTTCTCCTTATACAAAAACTGGTTAGAGATTTATTCTACTTACAGAACAACTCACATCCCATCTACAGACCTGTTTACCCTCAAACTCTTAAAATGGTACAAAATCATCACAAAATCTTTCAATACATTATCTTAATAGTAAAAAAAAACATGCAGTATATATAATGTATACACCTGAAAATCGTACATTGTACGCCAAAATCGTAAGAGTAAACAGGTCTGCATCTATCTGATCATATTTTACACCATCAAAACTGCTTGCTCAGCATTCATTAATTTTTAAAGGCTCACAAACAAGAGCTACTTAATTGCACTAGAGCTACTTGTACTTAATTGCACTAACGTTCATATTTCTTTATAATCAAGTCATTGTATTCAGAAAAAAACCTGCATGAAAATAATCATTAGGATAAAGTTTACTTAGGTTGACACTTTAAATTATCCTCTTTGTGATATTTGTTTAGACTTATTTTTTGTTTTCTGGTGGTTTTCCTTGTGCATCTCTTTTATATTGTTTGTTACCAACTGGAACTATGGTTGTGTTCTACAGTGCATGGTCTTCTGCTGAAATGTATGCCTGTTTGAATGTCATATGTTTGTGCCATCTGGTATTTATTAGAAATGACATGCTACTTTGCCAGATATTTGCATGCATGTATGTCATCCCGTTTGATTTTATATGTTATTCTTTTAAAAAAATTTTAATTGAACTTTTTCCAGACCATCGGCATCCAGGTCATCCCGATCTGTTATGTCATCACTTCGGGCTGGTTCTGATACAACACTAGATGAACAGGGCTCAGAGGATGGCCAGGATGAGCAAACTTCGGAAACATAATTTGCTTGAACTTATGTCTTACCAATGTTTTGTTTTTAATGACCAATATTGGGGCAGAACATTTGTACAATTTTAGTTGGAAATGATAGATGTGTGGATGATGTTACTTACACTATCTCGCATGGGCAGAGTTTGGTAGAACTTGTTCCTGATTTAATCCATAGATAGTTCATATTTTGTGTGGTGTATTCAATGTACAACAGATCGGTTTGAACCTGGGTTATCTTGTACATGACGACCCACAGCAATCTTATATTGGTGAAGTGTTTCCTCAATTATTTCTCCTCTCTGCTCTGAGATACAATGTTGAACACAATTTAAAGTAGATTTCATGTGCCTGTCACAATGTGGCCAGACAAGAGCTAGCGCTGTGTGAGTGTACAGGTGAAAGAATACTACCCACCCCGTAATAGCGTTTTCAATATTATGGATTATTATTATCATTAGCCTCGTTTCATTTTTTACATTGAATTGCTATATAAAAACTATAGAGACACAATGTATGCTTGCTGTATAAACATGTCTGTTCTCCCATTGACCAAGCTAGCTCTACTGTGGCGGCGTGCTGCATCAGTCTCTTCAGACATTTAATGACACTCATTCCAAGAGAACTCAGCTATGTGTTATGGATGTCAGTTTGTTTGATCACAATGCTGTTTTGTATGTGTTTTGTCAGGGTCATTTCTAATGTAGGACCTGAGAACATGGGCATTTCCATGGCACTTGTTTTCAAGTTGTAGCCTTATATTTCCTGGCTGATGACTTTTTGGGGGATAGAATAATTGGTTTCCTATCTCTGCCACAGGATATCATAAGACATTCTCTGTGTTCAGCTTGTTGTTTTGTTTTTCAGCTTTATCTATAAGAACATAATTGAGCATATAACAATATTTATATATATACATACAACAAATAATTTCAATGATACTGTTGTTTCTATGCTATATTAAACCAAACTTTGACTCATTGATGTAGAGTTGCTGCCCATGTCTGTGAAGTAACACTTAGCTCCCCTTCACGGCTGTCCTATTGGTTCAGCACAGTTTAAAAATCTTTGAAGTTTCAATATTTGTTGACTCCATTGAAATGAAAGGAATTGTGGGCTTTATGTTTGTTGGGTAAAAAAAAGAAGAAAAATCCAACAAAAACAAAAAAGGGATATGGTAAATAAATGAATACCTTGTTGATTGAGGGATGCCATGTTATATCCAGGGTCTGTAGCAAGTTGATAAATTTGTGCTTAATGCAATAATCATGTACTGCTTTGCTGAACTTCCAAATAAACTCTCAACCTATACTCAAAGAGGAACCATAGGTTTTGTTCATTCAACTGTGTAGAATGATGTCTAATGGAGAATTTTAGTTTTTATTCCTGTGCTCCATTTCATTTATGGGTGATCTGGGACATGGTTAAAATATGGAGTAATTAATCAGCAATAGTGAAGTATGGAGTAATTAATGATTCATGGGGAAGTATGGAGCAACGAAATATGGTGGAGTGTTAAATGAGAAATTGTGAAGTATGGAGTAATTGAGATGTGGTAAAGTGTGGAGTGATGTGAAGTATGGAGTTATTAATGAGTCACTGAAATATTGAATAAATCTGTGGTGTAAAAATAGGTGGAACATTGGAATATTAATATAAGTCAGGGGCGTGCAAAAAAGAGTGCCGTTTGTACCTGGTGTGTAGTACTATTTGGATTGCCATCAGGTGGGTTACCTGAATGCATATTTTGTAAAGTAACGTTAGATGGGAAGTTAATGCATCGCCCCCCATTATTTGGGTTTAACTAGTAAATAAATAAATTAATAATAACATGGGACATAAGAGTACACCTACCTACTACAACTATTAGATTAATTCGGATACAATCCTTTACCAGATACAATTATTGACCAGATACTTGGACGCTATCATTGACTACAATTATATGCGATACATTCTTTGCTAAAATTATATGTGATACACTCATTATCAAAATTACAGCTCTATCACATTTAATCATTGTCTGTATTCAACCTTTGACACAACCATTGGCTACAATTATATCATATGCATTAAATTCAGTGCAATTATATTAGATACCTTCATTAACTATAATTATATCAGATACTTTCATTAACTACAATAAAATAAATAAAGTAATGCACTTTCATTTTTATGATATAAAAATTAGTGGCTATGTTATATTTTACACAATCTTTAAAACCTGTTTTATCGCGATAGAATTTAACACCTGTTTTATCCCAGATAGTATTTAACAACTGTTTTATCCCTGATAGCATTTAACACCTGTTTTATCCCAGATAACATTTAACACCTGTTTTATCCCAGATAGTATTTAACACCTGTTTATCCCTGATAGCATTTAACACCTGTTTTATCCCAGATAGTATTTAACACCTGTTTTATCCATGATAGCATTTAACACCTGTTTTATCCCAGATAGCATTTAACACCTGTTTTATCCCAGATAGTATTTAACACCTGTTTTATCCCTGATAGCCTTTAACACCTGTTTTATCCCAGATAGTATTTAACACCTGTTTTATACCAGATAGCATTTAACACCTGTCTTATCCCAGATAGCATATAACACCTGTTTTATCCCAGATAGTATTTAACATAAGTTTTAATCCTAGATAGTATTTAACACCTGTCTTATCACAGATTGCATTTAATACCTGTCTTATCACAGATAACAGTTAACAACGATCTTGTCACAGATAGGATTAACATTTGTGTTATCACAGATAGCATGTAACAACTGTTTTATCCAAGATAGCATATCAACACCTGTTTTATCACATACATCTTCTAGTTCTAGACGCCCTATTAGACCATTGCTTTTCCATTCATCGTCATTGAACACTGTTGAATTCAGTTGTTTAGTTAGTATGTGTGATACCCCCGTGGTGGTAGTGGGGGTTTCTCAATCCTTCAAATCAGTCAGCAATCGACATTGGACCCGCTTTACGCATCACAACACGGTGGACCTTTGTTACGTCACACGTGATCAGAAGTATCTTTCACCCCCCCCCCCTGTTTTACCACTCATACGATTTCACCAATGTTCCTGTTACATTCTAAATTGCCTTTAACCCCTTGATACGCCCGCACGCACAGCCCCTAGCCCCCTGTTCTGTCAGACAGCTATTAACTACATTGTCAAATTATATACAGCCGTCGACTGTTGCTGTGCTGTACTTAAAGACGTTATTTAAATCAGAAAAGAAGACAAAAAAAAAACAAGAACCCAGCCCCCATGTCACCACGTCTTTTAAAAAAAATTGAATTGAAAAATCTATTTCATGCTAAATTTATGTCAACACTGAACTGAGCGGCTCTTGGGAGTTTTAGAAGCGGGATTCTCGCCATTGTGGACGAGCGTCGGGAAACGCAACATTTGGAGATGACGTTATTGAAAACTTGTTGGGGAGTGTGAGGGCGTGAATGGATCGCTGCTAGCAATATGTGGAACACACACAGTGACAGGAGAAAGCTGCTTAGTGCTGGGTGTTGCAGAACTCCGAGACGCCGAGGGGCATGAAAGGAATTTGTCTAGGTAAAATCAACAGGTGTTGAAAAGGTTTGTTACAAGCGGCAACGTTGTGGAGCGCCGGTAAGTGTTCCTGAATGCTGTGAAAAATGCGATTTTAATTGGATCATACAAAACGCCTTTGGCGGGTCGCTGTTTGTCCTTAGTCAACAGGACGAGGGATCAGTCGGCTTAGAAAGACTTCGCGAGCGCTGGATAGAAGACCTTTTTGATTGATTATGAATATCATATTGAGGGCTTGCGTTATGGAAATGCCAGTGTCAGTGGGCAGTCGACGGAAACGTTGCGCGAACCAAATGGGGGCTATTTCAATGACAATGGGCCCCCTCCCCATCGGGGACCCTCCCACATTAATTAGCTGCGGTAGAGCCATTTCCGTAGACGCAAAAAAAAAAAAAAAAAAAAATGGGGGGGGGAAGGGGG